CCGGGAACCCGCGCGCCCGTCCCCACCCCGGCGCCGCCTGAAAGGCTTTTCTCCAAATCCCGTTTGTTTTTATCTTTTTCAAAGCAGCCGTGAACGGAATCGTGCACGACGTGGACCTGCTGGGCGCGGGCCTGCGGCTGGTGACCCTGCTGGTGGACCCCGACGGCTTGTACAAGATGAGCCGCCTGTACATCACTCCCGACGGCTTTTTCTTCCGCGTGCACGTACTAGCCCTGGACGCCTCCAGTTGCTCTAAGCCGTGTCCGGAATTTAAACCCGGTATCGAAACTGACCCAAAAGAGCAGGTCACCCGTGTCCTTCATACCGACTGCTGCAGCGGACCTGCACGCTGCAGCCCCGGCCTCTGTTGGTCACCCCAGCGCCCAACCCCCTTTTCAAAGACCAGGCATTGAGCAGGGCCTCACCCGTGCCAGGCCATCAGCTACGCTCTCAGGATCTGTCTTTTCTGAGCTCGGGCTGACCTGGAACTTACGGCAATCCCCCTGCTTCAGCCTTAGACATGCTGGGTTACTGGTGGGGCTCAGTCCCAGCTGCTTTGTGAGACAGTAGTTTAAACAATAGGCTTTAGAGGACAGTCAGTACCACTTCCGCTCTCCCATAAAGGTGTGACCGTTGACTGGCACACTACTGGCCAGGAATGGTGCTGCCCCTCCAGCACCCAGCAGGATTTGGAAGCAGGAGGGTCAGAAGCTCCTCATCCTCCGCTACATAATGTTCAAGGCCGGCTCCGGCTAAGCGACCTCCTTAAAAAAAAAAAAAAAAAAAAAAAAAACCCAGAACATTCCCGAACACCGACGGGCTGACACATAGGTTTATGACAAAACACCTCTTTCGAAAGGGGTGCCTAAGGGGTTCTGTACAGCACTGAGTTGAGAAAGGCCGCGTTGGAGCGGCGTCGGGGTTAGCCTGCTTTCACTTCTCCCTAGAGATGTTCCCTGGCTTTGTTCTGAAATGTTGGCCGTCTGCAGGTGATCCTTTCGATGGGTTTCTCACCTGTTTGCCAGGAGTCTAGATAGCTGCGTGGCGAGATGAGGTTCAAGCTCAGATCTCACGGTTTCTCGGCGCTTAGATGACACCGTTTTTTTTTTACGGTTCTTTTGTTCAGGGAGCAGGTATATCGTGATGGGCCACATCTACCATAAGAGACGGCAGCTCCCCACCGCTCTGCTCCAGGCCCTGCGAGGGCGCCTGCGTCCTGGAGACGGACTGCTCACGGGTGGCAGCAGCTACGTGAAGAGGTTTAACCGAAAACGGGAGTGGCAAGTTCGGGGTGCCACCCAAGCCCAGTGCATTTGAACAGACCCACTTGGAACTCGTGTTCCTCAAGGCTCGGAATCCCGCAGTAAGGCGGGGAAGGTCCGCCCTCACGTAGCGGGGTGGGGGCTTCTGTGAAACTGGGCCCACAGCTAGCTACCATATGCACTCTAAAGCTGTCACTGTGTTCACTGAGGCTCATGCTGAGGCTCCAGAGCAGCGGGAAAGTTACTCAATAACAGACAGCGACCGGCCCAGCGAGGGCGGACACTGACCTCCCAGGTCAACAAAGCACACCACTTTGCATTGTTTTTAAGTTATTTTAATTTAATGCTTTTTTTTTTCCAGTAGAAACAATTCACAAAACATTTCTTGACTTTAAATATACAACTTTGAATAGTATCTATCATGTGTCAAGCTAGATTTTGTATTTAAAGCATCAGAGTTTAAATTCCACACGTGAGGATAAGCATCCCGTCAAGCTGTTTGCATATGAAATGTCATTTACATCAAACACTAGGGTCGGAGCCCAGGCCAAGGATGAAAATTAGACATTTCAAGGGTGAATTCAAGCAAAACATCATTCAAAGTGTGTTTCTGATGTACCAAAATACAAGGTCCTATGATGTATCCTCAGGCTTCCTTGGCCCTGTAACCTATTTTGTGCCAAACTGGCATCAATTTCAGCCTGTTTCCTGGTATATCTGATGTCATTTTTATGTTAAGACCCAGTATCACAACCGTATTTGTAAAGCAGTAAACCTTGCCATGAAATCAGACCTTGGATGCACCTGGCTTTTTTTTTTTTTTTTTTTTGGCCTCAATGATCCTAAAGACTTTAGAAAAAGCCTTTTTCAAACTTTCTTCCCAAACCCTGGAAGCAGTGTTCCCCAAAGGGCCGAGGGCTAGCTTTGTTTGGTGTGGACAAGTCTCCAGTCACTAGCTTCATGATTTTATACCTGAGTCCACAAGGACACAGCAAATTTTCTCTCTCAGATGCTCGAGCTGTATTTCTGTTATTCTGAAGTGCTGTGAGTAGACCCTGAGAATGCATGGCCCTTTAGTCCCAGCCCTGGTGAGGTAGAGGCAGGTGGATATCTGTGAATTCCAGGCCAGTCAGACCCACAGTAAGAATGGAACGAATGAAGATGACTGTGAGAATAGAGGAACACTGGAGAGTTGCCTGGGAAGCGACAGCTTATGACACAAGGCATAGCCAGGTGTGGTGATGAGCACCTGCGATCTGAGGCGAGTGTGTCAAGAGCGCAAGGCCAATCTACGCTACATGAAACCCTGTCTCAAAAATAAAAGATGCTGGGCGAGGGGGCACACACCCAGCACCCAAGAGGCAGAGGCTGGTGGATCGGAGTTTGAGGCCAGCCTCATCTACACAGAGAGTTCCAGGACAGCCAGGGCTACACAGGGTTCCTGTCTGGGGAGAGGGGGAAAACAGCCATGTGCAGTGTGGTTGGCCTCAGACATGGGACACATGAGCAGTTCTATTTTGTGGTAAAGCATTACTAAGGGGCTTTTTATCTTTTGATTTAAGAAAAAAAGTTGCATGTAGCCTCTGACTGGTACTTGCTACAGAAGCCAGGTTGACCCCATACTTTCAAAGCTCACGGGATGAGCTCTCTGGAACTGTATCGCAAACTCCCAGCTTAAGGTCTTTTAGAGAATTTTCCAAAGATGAATCGTGTCCAAATCCTTTAAAATGCTTTTTCTTTGGAGTGCTAAGTATGGCTGTGTAATGCCAGCGCCCAGGAGGTAGAGGCAGAGGTTGATCAAAGTTATCTTTGGCTACAAGTGTGTGAGGCTAGCTTGGGCTACATGAGACCCTGTCCTAGAGAGGGGGTAGCAGGGGCTTGGGAGATGACAGCTGTTATGATCTGTGCTGCTCAGTAGCTTTCAACTCCCTGCACCTCTAGCCTAGGGCACTTCACGTCCTCTTCTGCTCCCCTTGGGCACCTGCACACACACCCCGCCCCCCACAGACACATACACATAAAACCACAAATGCCAGACCCCCTGGCTCAGTGTACTTGGAGGTCAGGCCACTTGTAGAATGCCTGGATTTAAAAAAAAAAAAAAAAAAAAGGCCATCATTCAAGGTTGGGTCTGCAAGGCAAGGCTGGTGCAGCTCACTGAGGTCGGTTAGCAATGGACTGGAGACTGGAAAAGGAGACAGAAAAGAACCCTGGGGGTTCCAGGGTTGGAAGAATCGCCTTTAATATTCACACAGAACCTTGGTTGGAGTTTCTAATTTTATAGAAAAATTTTAATGAGCAAATCATTGTTGCCCCTAATCCTTTTGTCCCATTGAGAGATGCCAACTGCTGCCTCCGTCCATGGATCCATGCTCCAAAACCTAAAGGGCCCTTTGTGGCCGTGTATACACACAATAGTCCCTCAGCAATAAAATACTCAATTGCCTTCTGGACAAATTCAAGAGCATCTGTCCTTCAACTACAGCTGTTACTTCAAGGGTTCAAGGAGGGGAAAGAAGTTTTTTTTTTTTTGTTTTTTGTTTTGTTTTGTTTTTGGTAGGGAAAGGACTAGAAGACGCCTTCCCACCCCTTTTTGGTGTGTGATACTAGCTTTTAAGAACTGTCTCTAGACTGATCACATGGTTCTCTGCAGTGTTCTTCTGAAATCATTTTTAAGGAGAGCAAATGAATGTACATGCAAGACTTCCTGCCTGCCACTTGCAGGACCCTGTCTTAACTTGTTTGTGGTCTCTTCCAGTCTGAAAATTCACCATTTTTTTTTTTTAGTTGAAATTTGGTTTACACTGAACAAGAGACACGCTATTCTCAGAAACGCCTTTCTCAGAATCTCATTCTGTGTATCTTAAAACTCTTCAAACTACTCCACATGACAAGACCCCAGGGGCTCCCAAGGTTTTTTGTGGGACCCCCCCCACCATTTATCAGCTATTACTTTGCTTAGGAAAGACCAACACTCCAAATTAAAGACACTGCCTGAGGCTGGGCAAAGTGGCACATGCACGCCTGTAATCCCAGCACTCAGGGAGGCAGAGGTAGTCTGATCGCTATGAGTTCGAGACCAGCCTGGTCTACAAAGCAAGTCCAAGACAGCCAAGGCTACACAGAGAAACCCTGTCTCGAAAAACCAGACACTGCCTGGGGACCTGATCCCAACAGGAAAAGAGTGAACTCTTGCGGCTGGAGAGTCAGCTCAGCAATTAAATAATTGGTTGTTAGTGATGCTGGGTTCAGTTCCCAGCATCCACATGGTGGCTTAAGTCAGTAGACTCCATCTCTAGGGGATTCAGCATCTTCTTGTGACCTCCCGTGGACTTCAGGCATACATGTGGTGCACACACATACACAGGCAAAAACACTCATACACATAAAAATACATAAAATTCACACACACACAAAAACAAACAAACCAAAAAAACAAAAACAAAACAAAACAAAAAAAAAACAAACAAAAAAGGAAATGCTGTTAGTCTGAGCATGCAGCCACCATGTTGGGTCTTAAATTAGAAAGGAGAGAACCGAGATCTGACCTGACACAAATGGACAGAGACAGGGAAAGAAGTTTTATTTGCAGATCTTAAGAGGAAAGGTTACAAACAGCAACACATTGTCAGGGTCCCTACACAGCACTCCAGGCCAGTGCAAGTAGAAAAAGGTCCTTTTTACTGTAGAAAACATCTCCAAAAGATCACAATTTCTTTGACCTACTGTAGGACAGTAAATACGAACCCTGAAGAATTAGCACAGGAGAAAAAAAAAGCCTTACAGACACGATGAAAAATATCTCTTAAGAAATGGTCTCAAATTGTGAATTTGGAGATGAAGCACAAGAAATGCTAAAAATACTTTTAGCAAAGAAATCTATCAAGGCAAAGAAATACAACTTACAGGCTCAAAGCCTGTGCAGAAACACCCTAACCATTTCACAAATGCGCATCGGACCACTTGGTCTGCCAAATCAAACAGCATAACATTTTACTGAGTAGCAGAAGTTTGTCAAATAAGATTTGTAGAAAAGCAGCTTTTGAAATAAGAATGTACGTTTTTCAAAAATTCCTCTTGAAAGACTAAAGCTCTATAAGTCTGATAAAATTATAAAATGTCTTTATATGGTGATAGAAATTGCAAAAGTCTTTATACCATTAAGTACACAAATATGAAATTAACATCTTCCTGGTCTCAGAAATCCACAACCCACCCCCGCCCCCTTCTCTGTACAACTTGGCAACACCAGAAAATATATCAAACAGTGAACCAACCAACCATTGTTTCATTAGAAACTGCACAGAATCCAATGTCAAAAACATTACTTTTATTTTTTTTTTTTTTAGGATGAAATGTCCTATTACGTACAAAAAGAATTATTTAGAATTTGCTACAATTTGTTAAAAACATAGCAATCTATTGCCTACAGGTAGGAAAGCTTTTGCTGCAACAAGCTTAAGTGATTTAAGCCCATATATACTCAGATATATGAATAGAAAGTACAGGAATACTGGACATGGCGAGATGCAGAATCACTTTGTATCGTTAAATGTAGAATTCTTGCATCAGCACAGTGCTTACAACATGGAACTTTTTTTTTTTTTTTTTGTAAACTAAAAGGACAAAATAGCCTGTATTTAACTACTTCCACCTTAATAGTTTAAGCAAAAATTTTGTTACCATATTGAGCAGTTAAGTCTCTTTAGCTGTAAGCATAGGCTAAAGTGACATTTTATATACAGAGGGAGTGAGGGAGTGGGCTTCAACAGAGCACGTGAACCCAGAAGAACCTGTACACCTGAGCCTGTAATAAGAAAGAGTTGCCAACTGTTGCCACAGTTTCCTTTCAAGAAACTAAGGGCTGGGGAAGGCTTTGCATAGCAGGGCGACACCAGACAAACAGAGAAGACTTTTAAAAAACAAAAACTAGTAGATTCTAGAACTCAGCAGGACAAGGCTAATACAGACTAGTGCAAAATCTAGGAAAACATCTGCGAGGCTGCACGGCCCAACTCCAGCTGATTTGCACAACACAGTAAGCAGCGCAGAGGGGAAGGTAAGCGCGCGGGCAGGAGGGACATGCGGATCACGCCTGTCTGCTCTGTCCTCCACCCTGCTTTGTGTGACTTCCCTACCGCAACAAACCAAACCAAAGGAACCAACCAACAAGAGAGGCCACGGTCATCTAAACACCCCTCACCCCTCACAGGGAGCTGTCTGCCACTGGGAATTTGTCTAGAATCACAGAGGGTGGGGGATGAAGGCAACCTGCACTGTGTCCAATTCCCAAGTGATTACAGTTATTACAGCATGAGCAAGTGGTGCTCGGGGTCAGCTCCCTGGAGATTTCCTGATGTGGTGACAACGGGTTTAGGAAAGGAAGGGCCTCTGCTACACTGGAGAAACGCAGGCCTCTGCCTGTCGTTCCTGGCGGCCATCCCTGTCCCCACAAAGGCTTACAGGTAATCATTAGCGCACATTCAAAGAGACCTCCATCTGGGGGAGAAAAATGATCTCCATTTATTTCGATTCATATACATCCATAGTTGAATTTTAATACAAAAAGAAAAAAAATTAGAATCTGACAAATGTTTACAAACAAGATACCTTCAAATAGATTTTGCTCATTTAGCCCGGTGCAGAGTAAATGACAGTCTGTACTGGTGTAGTCAAGGCAACGAAGTCTGTAGTCCAGGACCACTTAGCCCAGCCTTTCCGTAGGCTTCATTTGTGTCTACTGTGAACGATAGACTCACTGTTGATTCCCAGTTGTGTGCACTTGTGTACATAGCAGCTCCTTTCATAGAAAGAAAAGACACCTAGAGGTCGCCTTGTACGTCACCTACAGGAATCATGATAGATACACGATGGATACACGTGACCAGGGCTGGATTTTATAAGAAAAAATAATTAGCTGACAAATGAGGGCAGCAATAAAAAAGCGTCTTTTTTGCAACAATAAATAAATACAGTCAAAGTTTTCTGTGAGACTCTAAGCAGCTTCTTCACTGAAGAGCAGACGTGGCATTTCCACGGAGTTACACTTGACCCCATAGTATCTTTTTTTTCTTTCTTTTTTCTTTTTTTTTTTTTTTTTTCAATAAACAAAGTTTCCTGCTTCTGCCACAATAGCAAAGCCATTTGCTCTCGACAAGACAACGGTGTAACGGTGTCGTTGACTTTGCTTTTCCTTTGTCTGTTGGACAAAATTGGCCAAGAATACAACTGGATTGTTGTGACCAATAGGAACGAGGTTATGGTCAAGTCTTGTCAGGGTAGCCTGACTGAGAACATCTGGCGCTTTACTTTATAGTTCAGAGCGCCAGCCTCTCGCTGTGTCTAGCTTAGGTGACACGCTGAGCTCTAAGGAGGTGTAGACTGCAGCTTGTTGTTATGAGACCTACAGAATACAGAAAAAAGGGGACAATTAAGCACCCTTCACTTTGAAGCAATGATACTTTTTGTGGATGCCAAGGCCAGTCTGGGGAAGCAGGCGTGCTCTTTCACTCGTCCTTGGCAAGCATTTATAAGGAAATTGACAATTAAGAAATCTTTAAGCTACAGTATTAAAACTTTTCACTGTACAGTAAACATGGTGGCTCACTGGAAAAACCCAACATTTAAAGATATACGTACATATAAGTGAATATATATTAAGATTACATCATTTTCAACAAATGGGACAAATAAAACATTTATAGACACATTACGGTAGTAAAAGGTGTGTGTGTGCCTGTCTATTTACAATATGCAGAAAATGGAAAGCTCTATCAGAAGACAATGGCAATATTAACATCTTTCTATTCAAGCCCAGAAAGTCTTCCTCTTTTCACAGTTTTATTCACAACTTGTTAGTGACTAAACTACTGTACAGGCAGCAGGACTAACTCAGCACTTTCTATCGCAGTAGCAGTAAGTACAGAGTTCCCAGCAGTCACAATTCTTTAAACACACTGTCCAACATGGCTGCCAGAATAAAACTTTTATGTATCTACATATCTGTATTTAACATTAAAAAATTATATTAACTAGTTTCAACTTTTGGGAGGGGAATTTTGAATTAGGTAATCACATGGTACAATAAACAGTGACCTCAACATCCAGTTCTGATTCCAGTTAAAAATTCAGACTAAAGATATCACAATCTGTAAGAAAAGAAAGAACATGGGTGGTATAAATGATGAATCAGAACAAAGTCATGAGAATAATGTGCACACAATCTTGGAGATCACAAATTAAACATGGGAGGTGTGGGCAGGTTAACAGCAAAAAAGGAGGAGGGCTTAAGGACCTCCCATGATGTGCTAGCATAAAACCAGGAGAGCATAAGCCGCCTCCACACAAGTCTTTATGTTGAATGCACTGGAGCAGAATTGAGCAGCCTTGAGCCACTGGAAGCAACTTGGTGGCAAGATGTCCTGGGGATCGGATATTATTCCCTCCGGTTGCTAAGCCTCCATCTTCTTCAAATCCTTTTGTTTTGCTACAAGTCCCAGGACTGTCCCCCCCCCCCCTCCCCATTCTGCCTGCAAGTCTGGCAGCTTGAGCAGGACTCGAAGCACCCAGCTTCCAGATGCCCTTCCAAAGGCCTTTTGGAATTCTGAAAGGCACTTTCAGAGATTTGACCACAGCACGGACTGTACAAGGTGCGAATGGAAGCCCGCAAGGGCCTGTGAAGGGGCTGTGGCCTCTGCTGCGGGGCACAGAGGCCCTCCTGCTTCCCTTTCTGAGCCTACTATATTTCCCTACAACTTGCAGCTGTCTTCAATACCTCCTTAGGCTGCTCTGAGAAGATGAAGCACCTAGTCATTTGCTGAGAAAGTGTTTTCTTATCCTCACTTTTTGTAATTCAGTGTTAGGCTTTTCGGACTCTAACCAATTATCTAATGTCTGAACCCTCTGCTCTCCTGAGACATTCCTATCTCTTATTCTGCTGTCATCTTCCGACCTGGACACGTGGTGCACATACTGGCTCTACAAACGTCACTTAGGTTCTAGGCATTCTCAACTGGTTGCTGGGACCTCTTGTTTCTTGGACTAAAGGCCTTGTTTTCTTTTCATTTCCTTTGTTTTTTGAGACAGGGTCTTACTCTGTAGCTGGATTAAGATGTGTGCCACCAAGGCAGGAGCCACCATGCCAGGCACTCAAGGTCTTGTTTCCTTGATGCTCTTATCTCTGGGAAAGCACGTCACAGCAACCGGAGAAGGCCCTTTCCTTACATCACCCACAAAGTGTCCCGCATTCATGCTGTACACATGTAAGCTGACAACCAAGTTTCCCAAAGAGCTGGATGCAGTCTCTCTCCCCTTACACAAAGACCGGCCAGCAGTCTTAGCCTTGCTGCTCACAGGTGTTCTGTTCCACCTCCCAGAAGCTTCTTTTAGCCTGGCCATTTAGTGTGGTGGTTGTTTCCCACCCGTCCCTTGCCTTGGGTACCGATCAGTGATCTCTCTCTGCAAGGATGCAAACTGCAGAGGAGAAGCCTCCTCACTACTCAGTGTCCCCAAGGCGGTGCAGAAGGGTTCTAGACGGCTGGGCTCAGTGAACAATGGTCCTGAATGTTTTAATTTCTGCCAGTAATCTTTTGATCATTTCCTTCATCTTCTCTGCTCTTCCGGACATTTCACTAAGTTGGGCATAGTAACATTTTTATTTCATAATCTTCATGACATGAACTTTCATCACTTACATTTGTCTTTTCCTAATCTTTTTGGGCAGGTTTTGTTTATTCTCAATAATGGACTCAGCAGGGTACAGGTGCAGTACATTAGACAGTTTCCTGGGACACAACTCAGGGATGTGTCCTGGCTGTAAACAGCTTGGTTCTCTCTGGGCTCCACTTTTCTGTCCCACCCTGGCCCTTCCCTTTGCAGGTGCAGGCTTTCCTGGGTGTCTGGCTATCCTTTTCATAAGAACAGGGTACAGACTGGGTGTCAGCAGGCTCAGCCACATGCCCAGAGCTTACTGGAGGGCAGCTACTCCTCTGCTATTTGAGACAGGGTATTACTGGGTCGTGAACTTGAGTTCCAGCTACGCTTGGCTTTAGATATAAAGAATGAGTTTTTTAGTGTCCCAAGTGGCATTCTGGGGATGGTTCATTTTTGTTCTGGGAGGCTGGCCTGCTCACTGTAGTAAGGTAAGCAGCATCCTCTCCGGCATCCAAGTACTAGCCACCAGCACCACCTCCAACAGAGATGAACAGCTCTTTGTTTCTCTGTGGTTTTCTATGGAATCACCATATCTGGGGTTCTCCAGGCAAAGTGCTGGGACCTCTGCTGAATTCTACACAAGAATTTGGATTAGGTATGCAGTAGACTCACGAACTGATGTTTTCCCATCTGCTTACTATTGAAGAGAATTCAGTGTGCTCTTTACTAGGAACCTATCTTTTAAAAACCTCCTCCGCTATGTCTAAAATACAGCTCTTCCTATGGGAGAAGAAAGACAAAATGGACCAAAGGCGGTGCCAGTGTGTGAGGTGGGAGAGCCCAGGGCTGGAGAACTCAACCAGTGCTATCCCCCAGCTTCACCTTGGGCTCACAATACCAACTCTGGTACTCGGTATGGAATCCAGAGAACACAGAGGAACAGGCCCCAACCTGTCCAAGGTGGACAGGACCTGAACAGTCTAGGACTGATTGAGCGGGTGGGTGGGTGTGGTATGGTGAATGATGATTCTCAAGGCTGCAGCATGACAGCAGTGACTGGCTGTGACCACCTGAGAGGCACCAAGCCTTGACAAGGAGGATGAGCTTCATGGGCTTGAGATGGGGGTGAAGTTGAGAAACAGAGGGACACAAAGGTCACAGCTGGAAGACTTCATGCAGAGGTGCTCAAGGTTTTTATGGTTTAGAAAAACTGAGAGTTACAGTCTAGCATAGCCTACGTGCTTTTCTAGAAAGCACCCAGAAAACCAGCAGTTGACCATTTCTAAGGTGCAGCACAGATAACCCAAGCAGAGCACTGTTAAGCCCTGTTTGCTGGGTTTCTCCTTGGGTGGCTTGAGGGGAGCCAGAGCTGTTCCTGCTTACCAGGAGTTAGCAGACAGACTCCTGCCAACAGCATGTCACACAGTGACTTCGTGTTAACAACATTAACAGACACAGGCCTTTCTCATTACTGTGTCTACTCCCGTTCTGAAGAGCAGAGCACAAGGCCATGGTCTTTTTTTGTTTGTTAGTTGAGACAGGGTCTCACTCACTATGCAGACCAGGCTGGCCTCAAACTCACAAACTCTTCTGACTTCTGTGTGCTGGGATTAAAGTTGTGCACTGCCATGCCTACAGCATAATCCCGTACGTAGTCAATCTTGACTTTGTAGGAACAGTATTTTTCTGTCTGAGGAACAAACTTACTAAGGACACTACACTGGGTGATCAGTAGGGAAAGTGCAGAGTTTAAAGAAGGACTTAGTTAAGAACACTGAACACCCGTACTTACCTGCTGGCCTTGAATCCTTTTAGTTTCTGTACAAAGAATGATTCAAGAACTTCTGCACACTGATAAAAAGGGGAGTCACTGGGATTGTAGTAACGGCAGTTATCAAAAATTTTGGTCATATCTGCCACGAACTCTGTCAGCTTTTCATAATACCGTTTTTGTATTCGCTCTTCCATGGTGGCAAGGTCTTAAAAACACAAAACAAAATATTTTCCAAGCTTTAAGGTTTTCCTCCCTGTCTTGCAGCTCCCATGAACTCAACATGTGTGTTTACTTTAAATCCTTCTGAAACTGCTACTCCACGTCTGGAGGCTGCGATTCACAAAGAGCATCTTAGTGCTGCTCAACACTGCTTCTGCTTTGGAATCCTGGCTGCTGCTAAGGAGGTTCTTTCATTCTCAGTTAACTATACAGAACAGAGGTCCACTCATTCCATTCATTCCACTCTTTAAGGTAAAGGAAACCATGCCATTGGATCTAAGCATAAATATATAAGAGAAATTATTTATCTTTTTGTTTTTTGTTGCTGTTTGTTTTGAGAGATGGGGTCTCTCTACATAGCTGTCGGTCTCTTCAGAATGATGATTCTAATGGCTTTATGTGGCTTAGAAGCTCAATTTACTGGTGCTTGAGAGATGGCCCAGTGGGCAGGGCATCTGGCTGCTCTGCCAGTGGACCACACAGAGCCATCAGAATCATTGTTCTGAAAGGACGCAAGCAACAACTATCCCGGGCCTCTTAGTCTGTAAGGCTAATGCTCTACCACTGAGTGGTCACTCAGCCCCCGACTTAACAGACTCTCCCTCCAACCTCTTCATGTTCTCCTCTCTTCTGAGAACACTTTGCTGGCTTTAAAAACACAAGTCTTCTATCAGCCAGAGGGAATGCTTCACCTATGGGGAAACGTTTGTGCTTCAGCTTTTGTAATTTCTCCAGCTGGCACGTTATTCGGAAATGTGACTGTACGTAGCTGCCCCTCTTTGCTTTGTTATAGCTTTGTTCTTTGCTCAGTTATAGCTTGACTAGTAGCACTTACTTCTCAGGGGGCAGGCTCTCCACTGGTGGTCCTTGGACTTGCTTGTCCATCAGGCTGGGTTCACTGACTGCACTCACTTTTTGTTCAGCTGTACAACTCTCTACTCACCCACAGTTTTACTGAGTGACTACTGGACTGACAGTTTGTTGCATTTCCAGTGTTTTGCCATCACAAACTCTGTTGCCACAAACATACCCTTGTCCCCATGTTAAGCTGCAGGCTCAAAGGCATACGTAAATGGCTGTTCCAAGATGGCTGTGGTGCCTTCCTGTAACAAGCACTTGGGAGGTACAGGCAGGAGAAGCACTACAAGGATGCACAGGCTTGGGCTAAGAATGCCTATGAAGTCCAGCCTCCAAACACGCCTCAAGGATGCATTCAAAGTGACTGATACAGTTACAGTGTCGCCTGCATGCCCGAGATACTCCCATGATGCATCAGCACCATGGATGACAGAACACTGGCCCGAGACTTCTGAAATGCGTCTCCCTACCCAGCTCAAGCACTTACCCATCGGCTCTTTAATAACACCGTAATAATCTGGTGCATCATTGGGGTCTACCGGTTCAAGGAAAGGCCAAGCCATCTTATGGGCCTACAACAAACAACAAGTGTCATTACCATCTGTGAATGCAGTAACATACGTACTAATCCTATTCCGCTGCCTCACGGGGTCAATAAACCCTACTAAGTCAAGTGAGCTTCACATTCTCGAAGTGAAGTTGGTCACATAAGGTGACTCGAGTGAGGCACAGGTTTTCTTAAATGATCACGATTTACAGTCACAGTGCTCCGAGGACCTTGGTGACAGGAGTGGGGCACCAGCCCACATGACGTCTATACCCTGGTTCCTATGTGATGAGCTGCCAGCTGTGGGATGCTGGACCGGCAAGCCCTTCAGCATGCTGGGATGTTATCCCTGCTGGGTAATGAGGTGGCGGAGTCAGATGCTAAAAAGCACTCTGCCAGGCACTGTGGCTGACTTTCCAGGTCTCGTGACTTTGACTGCAACTGCAGCAGAGATTTAACACAATGCCTTGCTTTGACACCCGTTTCTAATACTCCCAATCTTCCCTATTCTTTCATTTCTAGTGAGAGAATACATGGAGAACCAAACTGTTTTCTCATCTAAGCCTATGAGATACAGTTTTCTTCAAAAGCAAAACAGAAGTGAAGACCAATGCCTAACGTGCCTCGGGTGATGGACAGGCAACAGCGGGCGTGGCACCTTTGGTAGACCTCAGGTCACTGGCACCTGGCAGAACGCACTTTTCCCAGCTCTTCTCACTGGGCGCTGGGAGACTCCCTCAGGCGCAGCGCTCCGCAGCTTCTTACCTGTAAGGAGCGCAGCACCCTCTTCAAGCCTTCATAGTCTTTTTCTGTCAGTGGTGTGAGCACTGTCATGGCATCCTCCGTTGACTGGCACTGTGGACAGACATACTCATCAATGAGCTCTGCCTCACTTTGCAAGATGCCAACACAGCGCCCGTGGTACCAGTTCTGACACCGATCACAGCCAATATAAAATCTGCAAGATCCAAAATGGAAATGTGAGGCCACACAGAACAGGCTGCTCCTGCCTAGACTTTACCTTTAAAGACCATCATGCAACTGAAAACTGGCTAACCCCTGGGGTATAAAGCGCTTTTAGCATTATGGTTGTTTTACTAATCGAGACTGACACCCCAATGTGTTAACCAAATACTTTGGATATTAAGAACAGTCGTAAACATGAATTTTAAAGTACTGTGCACTACTGGGGAGCCAATCTACAGAAAAATACAAAACATTTGATTGACTTTTAAAGCTCAAAATAAGGCCAAAAAAAAAAAATCTTTCAACATGTCCCGTATCAAATGAGAGTACAAAATCAGTGAGCTAGTAAAGAGGCACAGCTCATCCCCAAAGGGTGCTTCTCCCAGCTATAACGGAGCACCACGTCACAGACAGGCTTTTCATCACAGTACTTTGTTACATACTGAAGAAACGACATTTCCCCCAAGGCAACTCAATCATTCACTAGGAAGCAACATACATTTTGAAGGGGGGAGAGAGAGAGAGAGAGAGAGAGAGAGAGAGAGAGAGAGAGAAAGGGAGAGAGAGAAAGAGAGGGAACAGAGAAAAAGACTGGAAAGGCTTTGTAATGTAGGTGTATAACACACAGCAGAGAGGCCCTGCTTTCATTTTCAGGTAAGTGACCAATCGAGAAATGCGGCTTCCTGAATTGTCAAACAGATGCTCTTATCAACTCACTGTGACTCATCATAAGGTGTCCTGCAGATACAGTACAATTCCTCACTGCTGCCCTCTTGTGCCCGCTTACAATCATTACAGATGTACACATCCATTTTCTTAGCCTCCTTTTCTGTGATGCCAACACATTCTCCATGATACCAGTTAGTACAAAGATCACAGCCAATATAGAACCTAAAAGTATTCACAATGAAAATGACAATGTAGTTGTCATTTTGAGCTGCACGGTATGTAAATCTGTCTTTTCTACCCTGGTTCACTTTCTTACAGAATAATTTCTGCAATGAGTCAGCTATACACCCTGAATGCAACCATCCTACCAAACTACAGCATCTGACACTGTACCAAGGGTGGACATGTCGTCACATCAATTTCAACGAACACACTGTTTAGTGAAATATGGGTCTTTAAAAACACACTCAAATTTGAGAAAAAAAATTAACAACACACTGATGGTGATGGCTTCCTCTTAATGAATGTGTGTGAAACTGTAACAGGCACAGAAACCAAAAGCCAAAGAATCAAAGACTTACATCTGTCAAACCTATTCTACAGAAGCCATTTCAATACCAGGGCTATTTCTTAGATAGGTTTGAAAATGTATCTCACAATTTAAAATTGGAAACAGAGCAAAGCGCACACACCAAGGACAGTTACAGTACAAGGATCATGCAGGCCAGCCAGGTGTAGAGGACAAATGGTCAAACGTGATATGAGGAAAACTAGGAGAGGTCCATGTATGTAGGCATTCCTGTTCACTGAGCTTGACAAGGGGAGGGAGGGAGGGAGGGAGGGAGGGAGGGAGGGAGGGAGGGAGGGAGGGAGGGAGGGAGGAAGGTAAAGGAGCCCAGGTTTTGACACAGGCTTCTGGGGAAAAGTCGCCAGCACTCTTTAAAACGTCTCTATCCGTGCTGGTGGGAGCTGCTGCGCAGGGAGCTGTGCGTCAATCACAGGTAGCCAGGCTGGCCTTGTGACAACTGGTGCCCTCCCAGTCGGCCAAGCTGTTTGTGGTAATTTCACCTAGAGGGACGCTGCATGACTGTGTAGGGCGGAGTGAGGTGCTCCAACCTCTTTGTGGGGACCTTTCTTCTGAGCCATGACTGACTCAGGTGAGGACCTGTTGAGGTGCTTTAAATGTTGCCTCTTTAAGGTGCTATTTGGTTTGGAAGGGACTTCAGGGCCCGAGTTTCAATTTTTAGTAATTCTCATTGGAAGCCAGTGACTCGGTGCTCAAACCAGGCTGGTTTGGTCTGAATGTCAGAGGACACTGATAAAATACCGCCTTCCTCCAGCTACGACAAGGGGTGAATGACTCTGCTGTATTGAAATGTCAATGGCAAACAAAAAAACAAACCAAACCAAAACAAAGCAACGTGAAATGGCCACAAAATAATGGGCAGTCTCAATAGATCGAGCACAGGTACACATGTGCCTCGCTGTAAGCAGCGCCAGTATCCCAAGAAGGTTTCATCAAAATCATCTGCTGTGGATCAAACACTATGTCAGCTCAAGGCTGACCTGCGTCTAATGTTCCCCATCCTGGGCATGTTTAAGGGATCCTCCGGTGTGTTTTACCTAAAAGAGAGGCACATGCACTTGTACTAGCCTATAGGGCAAATTAGTTCACAGGGTGCCACTCTTTACATGATGGGTAGTCACCAATGAGGGACATACATTGGAAGTGAAGACGGCTACACTCTGCTGAGTTCAACAGGCAGCTTGGCCCCAGCAGGGATTCCAATGACATTTGCAAAATGATGGTGATTTCGGAACCACAGAGAGGTTTCCGTATCACCACATACACAGACAGTAAGAATTTTTAATTCTGAATCTTTTTTTTTTTTTTTTGTAAAGCACAGTTAAACTTTTTGGTACTATAAAATAGTACTATGATTCCTGGTAGTTTATAAATACTGGCGTTGTATTTGCATATTCCAGATAAAGTTAGATACATCACTGAGTAATAGTAATGATTAAAAAAAAAAAAAAAAAAAAAAAAAAAAAAAAGAAAAAGAAATAATTAAAAAAAAAAAAAAAAAAAAAAAGAACAACAGGGAAGTATATTTATGGAATAGTATCACTAACATCTCACTTATGTCACCAAATGCAAGTCATGACTGTCAAAAACAGCTTCCAATTGCCACGCTCATCAGTTTTTGAGTGTGATATAAAAGGAACACTTTATGTACTTTTTTGGGTTTTGTTTTCCAAAGACAGTGGAAATTTAGACAACAATATTAGGCTGCAACTTCTTTTTTATTATTTATTTATTTGTTTGTTTGTTTATTTATTTATTTTGCAATCTACGTTTTTAAAAGGGAACCGATGTCGCCTTTGGGTCATCCACTTTGGGATGGACTCTGGGCTTTGGCCATCACAGAAAGGAGGCCAGGGCGCGCTGGGGTGATGGCCTTCTGCAAGATGCAGTGCTGGCAGATTAAGAGCGAGTCCACAAAGACCACTGGGAAAGCAAAGAGGCCACAGCAAGCTTGTTTTTGACAGAAAAGGACATCGCTGAGGACAAGCCAGCCCCGTAAGCGTGTGGAACGGCACCCCACTGCACTGCTGTTAAGTCAAATAGTCGATGAAGCCCAGCCTCACACTGGCTCACCCTCTCCCAGTGCTGCCAACTGCTCACTCAACAGCTAAGCTGAGGGGAGAGGCACGTACTTAGACTCGTCATATGGCGTCTTGCAGATGCAGTACAGCCTGGTGTCCTTTTTGGCCTCCTTGGAGGTGGTGGAGATCATTTTCTTCTTTTTGGACTTGGAGTCCCTCTCCTCCTCCCGCTTCCTCTTCTGGGAAGCGACAGGCAGTGGGGCTGTGGGGTGGCCTGCAGGCTGCAGACCGTGTGCTGAGGGAGGCGAAGGAGGAGGAGGAGCTGGAGGGGCAGCTGGCGCTGATGCTGGCACTGGGGCTGGCGCTGACGCTGGCACTGGGGGTGTGGGTACTGTGGCAGCACTGACGTGTGTCACCTGTGCCATATCTTTCTCCTTCTTTATTTTCATGTCTCTCTTCAGCTCTTCCTGTGGTCAGTTAAGACAAACAAATGATCATCAGGGTTACTACATGAAGGAGCATCCTGGACAGGAAGCAGACACTATCTTACCTGCCAAACAGCTCTTTGGTTTTTGTTTTGTTTTGGTTTTTTAAGACAGGGCTTCTCTGCGTAGCTTTGGCTGTCCTGGACTCACAGAGATCTATCTGCCTTTGCCTCCCAAGTTCTGGGATTAAAGGCTTGAGACACCACCACCCAGCTTGTTTTGTTTTTTTAAGATATGGTTTTCCTTTGATATCTTAGAATTCGATGTATAGACCAGGGTGGCCTCGAACTCAGAGATCTGCCTGGTTCTGCCTCTCACATCCTAAACTAAAGGTATGCACCACTACTGCCTGGCTCAAGTAGCTCCAAAGAGAATCAGTCTGTACATGAACTGAACACAAGGCCTAAAACATGGCCTGGCCAGCAACAAACAGCATGAGAAATGGACTGTCTGTGTTTACCAAGCATTGTTTAGACTTAAGACAGGGGACCCAGGCAACAACATTTTCTAACTGGGTCTGCGGTCCCAGTACCCACTATAGAAACAGGAGGATCAAAAGTTAAAGGTCCTCTTCTGCAACACAGTGAGTTTCAGACCCTATCTCAAAACAAAACACCCCCCCTCACACACACAACATCCTCTAAAAGACATTATTTTCTCTATATAGGTTTGGCCATAAATTGGAATCCTGGGCTCCAGAGAGCGGTTCAGTGGATACAAATGCTTGTGACAGAGGCCTGATGGCTTGAGTTCAATGCTCAGAAAGCACAATGCAAATGTAGCAGTTTACATCAGTAATCCCAGCATTACTACTGATGAAAGACAAGAGACAGAACCACCTCAAGTCTACCCTGGACAGACAGACAGACACACACTCTCTCTTTTAACCCCCCCTCTTTCTCTCTCTCTCTCTCTCTCACACACACACACACTTTTTTAGAGTACAGTTAACAATATTTTCCTTCCCTTAAAATAACAAAAAAGAAATCAGGTGTAAAGGTGCACAACTTTAATGCCAGCACTTGGGAGGTAGAGGCAGAAGGATCTCTCTGTGAGTTTGAAGCCAGCCTGGTGGATGGAGTGCCATGGTTCCCAAGCTCTAGGTTACAACCCTTTCACATGGGTCCCAGAGCAGATATTTACATTATGATTCACAACAGTAGCAAAACTACAGTTATGAAATAGCAATGAAAATAATTTTATGGTTGGGGGGTCACCACAACATGAGAAACTGTATTAAGAGTCACAGCAGGGGCTGGAGAGATGGCTCAGAGGTTAAGAGCACTGTCTGCTCTTCCAAAGGTCCCGAGTTCAATTCCCAGCAACCACATGGTGGCTCACAACCATCTATAATGAGATCTGGTGCCCTCTTCTGTATATGTACACAGACATTGTATACATGATAAATAAATAAATCTTTAAAAAAAAAAATAGAGTCACAGCAGTAGGAAGGACTACTGAGAACCACTGAGTCCCAAGACAATCAAAGCTACACAGTGAGAACCCAAGTGGAAAACAAATCAACCAACCAACCAAAAAAAAAAAAAAAAAAAAAAAAAAAGACTGTGAATTCGAAGCCAGCCTGGTCTACACAGGGAGTTCCAGGCTAGCCAAGGCTATACAGAGAAACCCTGATTCAAAAAACCAAAGTAAAACGAAACTGTAGGCATGCATTTGCACTTTCCCAACTGCGAGCACGATGTGAGTGAGCACCTGTTCCAGCCACTGCTGCTTTACTTCTCTGCCCTGATGGACTAAGCAGGCTCCTTCTCCCCAAACAACCATCTGGCTGACCTGTACTGGACTGGAAGCAGCATTTTAAAATTCTAATTTACCCTGGCTCAAAACAAACAAACAAACAAACAAACAAACAACACCACTATAACCCCATTATTATTATTATTATTATTATTATTATTATTATTATTTTAAACTTTATTTTATGTGCACTGGTGTGGGGGCATCAGATCCTCTGGAAGTGGAGTTACAGGCAGTTGTGAGCTGCCAGGGGGGTGCTGGGAATTCTCTAGAAGAACAGCCAGAGCTCTGACTGCTGAGCCACCTCTCCAGCCCTCCCAGTACTAAGAAGGGCTGTGAGCAACTGCACTAACCTCCTCTAACCCTGCTGCTGCCTTCACTCCAGTTCTAGACACAGAGTTCCCAGCAGCTGCAGGGGCTAAGTGGATGGATGGAATCGTCACACCTACAGGAGTTTTATAGATTCCCTGGCACTGTGGCTCAGGCCTGTAATCCCAGCATTTAAGAGGGAGGGCCAGAAATTTGAGGCCAGACCTGGGATAAATAGAGATCCAGTCTGACATAAACCAAAGGCAGCTTTATGTAGATGTTTATAAAAAGATAAAAGGAAAGAAAGGATAAAACCATTCCAAGAATTACTCTCTCTCTCTGGTTTTTTAAGACAAGGTTTCTTTGTGTGCTTGGCTGCTCTGGACTCACTCTGCACACCAGGCTGGCCTCAAACTTACAGAGATCCGTCTGCCTCTACCTCCCTGAATGCTTGCACTGGATTAAAGGCGTGCACTGCCCCACCCAGCTCCCTGCATAGTCTCTTCACGTCCTGTGTGAAGCTGTCATGTGAATATGTGATTCTCTGTGGTAACTCTTACCTGAGCTGAGTCACAGCACAAAGCAGAAGGTTGTATTTTGCTTTCTGACTCTGCTGTGAAAGGGCACTGTGACAACAGAGGTTCTCTCAGGGTTAATCCTAATACTGGCGACTATAATGCTGTTACAAGTTGTAATATGGTTTTCCTGGGAATGTCAGTGTAACAACTGCATCACATGCAATAATAATTCTGTCTTTTTTCTTGCAGTTTGTTTCTCTTGTCTCTCTCCAGTGAATTCCCTGATTGCTGGACCTGTCTGGTTTGTTCTCTGTGGGAAGACTGCCAAGCTTCCAGGTTATCTAATGTCCTCTGTTGGTCTGATGGGTATTTTATTGAAATGTACAAGGCACCGTAAGGAATGCTCCCAATACCCCGCTTCTTTTTCAGAAAGCTGTGTAAATTATGCAAGAATGGATTAGCGGAGTCTCCGGGATCACTTTCAGGTCAGGAAAAAGTGTCTTTATACGAGGGCACTTGTTTCGTACGTTCATACACGCAGTCTTCTTTAGAGCTGTGTTTCCTGACGAGTGGCACAGACACTAAAAACCACAACACACCCAACACAGCTAAGACGGCTTAGCCCTCTCAGATCTCAAGAAGCCATTTCTACTTTCCATGCTCTAGACACACAAATGTAAGTTCTAGAGAGCGAGCTGGAATTTTAGGCTTAGTAAAAAATAGAAGGCAAAAAGGTGTGTCAATATTGGACCCTGGAACAGGCTCCTACCTGCACTTGGATCTGCAGCTCTTTGTCCAGGAGCGCCCTCTTTTTCAGGATCTCGGCTTTGAGCTGCTCCTTGTGTTTGAACAGCAGAGCAGAGAGCTTGCTGGCATTCTGTTTGCTCCGCTTCTGCTCCACACTCTCCTCTCGCTTGCGTTTCTTTGCTGCCTGCTTTTCTTCTTTATCTATCTTATCCAGAATGTACTTCATCACCTGGTTACAGACAATCATTCTAGAGAAAAACACACAACCTCTGTAAAGCTGGCTGTCTCACCCTGAAAAGAAAGGCACCATTTATCTACATCCCTGGATGACGTGCAAACTGAGAGCAGAATGTCAAGGAGCGGCTGACCATGAGCCACTCCTGCATTGAACCTGGGTAAGACCAAAGCAACACCAGGCTATACAGACTTGCAGGTGCCCTGGGAGTGCCCTCTCCCTACCTTTGATTTTCTTCTCTTTCAGCTGGAGTCATGGTCTTTTTCTGTTTTAAATGTTCTATTACAGCATTATGTTTCATCACCACCTTAAGAACAGAACAAATCCACAATAAATGCGCATTTTGTAACAAACGAGTTAAGTTAGCACACAGCTAAAAGTAACCCCCGTTAGTGTTCCAACTGGCGAGAACGGTTTAAGGGACACAACCAGAATGAAAGGTGCGGGGCAGTCCCAGGTTCTCACCATGCGGCAGCTACTCAATTAAGCTAAGCACTTGACATTGCTCTTTCTTTAACCTAACACTGAAATGCAGAGGCAGTTCTTCAAATAAACACGGAGATGCAAAGAAATCAACCAACATGTCTGCAATTAAATGGTAAGTAACACAGCCCCAAAATTGCACCCGACTCTCATGCTCCACGGCCCTCCACCCATGCTGCCAGCAACAAAAGTCTATTCTGAAGAGTCCCCTGCCCCATACAAAGATCCGAAAGACGGGTACTGGAGCAACCGTCAGTTTACAGATGAAACAGTCCAAGAGCTGGGATATGAACACGTCAGAGGAACTTGTTCTAGAAGTATTGGCTTAAACCTTCACAATCACATACGTGACAGCATTAGTCCTAGCAGTCTCATGTGGCTGCAAAGAGACGGGTTTTAGCTCAGACACCGCTCAGGGAGAAACAGTGCTTCGCAGCTCAGTAAGACCTGAAGCTCTTGCCTAGTGCTGATGGGGGCACATGGCCGCTGACAGTGTCCTCAGCACGACTGCAGGTCACCGGCTTCGTTTTGGCAGAGTTCCGGTCGTCTGAAGTGACTTTCTGCACCCAGACTACACTCCAAGATGCCCCGGCTGCACTACGGGCAAGCATCTGGGTTGAAAACGGTGCGGCAAGTAATGCAAAGGAACTACCTGCCCACAATTTGCTTAGTCGATAGGCAAATGACCGATTGAGACTTGCAAATCAAATGACTTCAAATGAATCTCTACATTGTGAAGGTGGCCTTACCTGCCAGGGCAATGTGCTTTCTAATAAGCACAGATGCTACACATACAGCAAGGAGGCAGTCCCTCTCCAGAACCGGCGAGCGGTGCTTCTGCTCTCCTAAGGTCACCCACCAGTGGCTCTGTCTCATTCAGGGAGTCTAACACAACCAAATCACTAAGTCTACTGCACAGCACAGTAGTTCACGCTAGCGAACATGCTGCTTTGACTTAATAACTTTACCTGTTTCTGAATGATTTCACTTTGGTTAGAAGCTTGGAGGGTGTGTTCCCGCTCAATTTCTATCTGCTTCTTCTTTTGCTGCTGATCCCTGAGTTGCTGAACCCTCTGCAACTGCTCTTGCACACTGGCTGCCTGCACTGTGACCACACTCTGAACATGCTGAGTCTGCACAGCACTGTTGTGCTGAATTTGAATGGGCAACTGCAGTCTGATTTGCTGGGGCACACCACCTTGCTGAGCCTGTATCTGAGCCGCAACCTGCGGCTGGATCTGAGAGAGAACCTGGACTTGCTGGAGCGGAGGCACAGAAATGACTTGGGGCTGCGGCTGCTGTGTTTGTGGCTGAGGACGGGGTGGGGCTGAGACAGTAGTGTGATTTAATGTCTGTCCTGATGGAAGAGTTTGAGCTGAAGACTGTACCTGGGGCTGTGACTGTGGCTGGCCTTGGGAAGGTGCCTGCAGAGATGTGGGGGATGGAAGTGGAACCGGCTGTGAAGCTGGAGTCTGAACCTGGGGCTGCTGTCCAGGAGTCACTTGGGATGGAGTTGATGGACGTATTCGAGTCAGTGGCGGGCTCTGGACACGAACAGGAGACTGTCCTTGGACACTGCTCTGAGGCGGACACTGTGCTGCAACTTGGGGTTTGGATGGCTGTGCTTCAGAAGGGACATGGGGCGAGACAGGAGGCTGGGTCTGGACTTCAGGCTGCGCTGCGGGTGGGGGGAGGGGCAGTGACTGTGCTGCAGGCTGAGTAGTCTGTGGCTGCGCTTCTGCAGGACTCACACTCGACGATGGCGATGGAGTTGGTGCCAGGGTTGTGGCTGGTTGTACCTGGGGCTGGGGTAATAATTTACTTTGTTTTTGTTCACCTGAACCTGTAAGAAAGAAAGACAAAATGATTTCTGTGACGTTAGAACAGAACACCATGGTGAAAGAAGAATCGGAAGGGGATTTCCTGAAGCCGGGAAGTCTGTATTTCAGGACAGAAGATGTAAGCCTTGCACTGAGATTCGGCATCTCCTTGGCCGGAGAGCTGGGCCATTCCCTGTAGGCTCTCCATGTGTCAGCTAGGCATTTTGAGGCAGCCTCTGTCAAGTGTCACTCTTGTGCTATGGCATGGTAACAGTCACTGATAGCTTTTTTTGTTTTGTTTTTGTTTTCTGAGACAGAGTTTCTCTGTGTAGCTTTGGCTATTTCCAGGACTCTCTTTGTAGACCAGGCTGGCCTTGAACTCACAGAGATCCACGTGTCTCTGCTTCCCTGAGTGCTGGGGTCACAGGCGCGCGCCGCCATGCCTGGTGACCGACAGCTTACAGGAGGCTGACTGAGAGGCCTGGGCCTGCGGGGCTCAGTCACAGGGTGGAAGCTGGGTGGGTTTACTCTCCCTAAGCTCATTCCCAGGGCTCCACCAAGGCTGGACGAGGAGTGCCGGCACAGGGGCCATGGTATCCATTATTCTCTTCCTCCCTCCTTGCTGTTACAGGGTCTAGGAACAAGGCTTGAAGCAGAGGCTGTCTGGGGCTGTGATGCTGGGCCCTGTGCAATGTGCAAGCCCAGGAACAAGGGGCAACCCCGCGTGTCTACCTGCTGCTGTGGTATTGGTGGTGGTGCTGCTGCTGCTGCTGGCGGCCGTAGCTGCTGTAGTCAGTGGGGTAAAGAGGAACCGCTGAACGGTGCCATTTGGCATTGCAGCTTGCATGAGCTGCTGTCCTGGCCCTGGAAGAACCGTCATCCCCTGAGGTATCAACTGCAACTGTCCGGTAGTCTGACCTTGTCCTTGAATTACTACTGTTAAACCTTGGTTGCCACCCTAAGGAAAAAGCAGACAACATATACAGTTTCAAATCATGAATCTGTAAAGTGTTTTAATAAAATCATTTATGTTACACCCCAATCCTACAAGAAACCCAGAAAAAAAACAAACAAAAAAACCTTACTACTACTTCTTCAAGTTTGGATTGTATAGGTCAGAGCTATCATGTTCGGGTAAAAATCCCTTTTTTATTTTTAAAGATTTATTTATTGTAGATGCGTGTGCTCTATCCACCTGTATGCCTGAAGAGAGCATCAAATCACATTATAGATGGTTGTGAGCCACTATGTGGGTGCTGGGAATTGAACTCAGGACCTCTGGAAGAGCAGCCAGTACTCTTAACTGCTGAGCCATCTCTCCAGCCCCAGGTCAAAATTCTTATTTCACTCAGTCAATTAACCACCTTACTAATTAAATTTTGTGTTTGGTTCTCAGTGATACCCAAGGATAACCCGGAATCCACTATGACTTAAGCCATCAAACCTGATTTTTACTTTAAACCCCTTTTATTCACTGTATTTTATACTTTTGAAACATCTTTATACGTGGTTTCATTCTAGTCTCACACAGCAAGTGAGCTCAGCGGCTTGGCAGAACAAATCTTACTATATTCCACAGTAACTTACTCCCAATTACGAAACTCAGAAGCGTCAAGGTCCACCTAGGAATGGTGGCACACATTCAAAGCTGGCCAGACCCGCATAGTAACACCCTGACTCAAAAGCAGCAGTGGCTGGAGTGTGTCTTGGCAGCAGAGTGCAAGCCTACTGTTGCACTCTGGGTCCTAAAGCCAATCCTCAGAGCCACAAGGGAGAAAAGTTCCTTGCCAGAGTCAAAGGTGTGAAACCAGAAAGCAGTGTCCTGCACTCTGCTTTTGTTGTTGTACAGTATGAACGTATCAACCTTTGCTCTCTGCTAAGTGCACTAACATGGCTGAATCCAGGGCTTTTCCCTGGGAAGGTACTCCACCACTCAGCTGTATCTGTGTGTCCTCAGAGTCTCAAAGACAGAATATGGGAGCACAAGAGTCAGGAGAGCCACTAAGGTCCAGGAGTTTTGAAATGGGAACAAGACACCAAGGACTTGTCACATACAGGCTTCTGTGTAAAACCCATTGGTCTAGCACGCCTGATGCCTCAAGTGTGCGCACTTGGGGGTTGGGTTGGTTGGGGTTAGGAAGCACAGACAGTTCTTTACACTAGAAGTCTGCACTTGGCTGCACAAGCTCGGAATTCCCTCAACCAGCATCTGTTTGTTTCCTAAGAAATACACATTCTTTATAGGACCAAAACTACACAAATGACAGATCTAAGTAATAATCACAAAACAAACACCTATTAAAACACTGCTGTGATGACCATGCAGTACCAAGGAACACGATGTGCTCTGGCTGCCGCTCTCTCTTCCCTAGAGGAATGGGCGGTTCTTACTTTAGAGCGTCACTACCCTTTATCTTTACATGGCCACTGTGAATCCTCACAGGAGAAGCAACGTTCGGGGTCTAGAGTTGGTGCAGCACTTTAAAGCATTTGTTCTTTCGAGGACCTGGGTTCAATTTCCAGCACCCACACGTGGCTCACAACTGTCTGTAACTCCAGACCTAGACGATCCCATGTCCTTTCCTGGCCTCCATCGGCACCAGGCATGCACATGGTAGACTTAAGCACAAGCAAGCAGAACACCCCTACACACAAAATACTAAACCTTAAAAAGAAGCAACATTCGTTTAGAATACAATGGCCCTCTAGGTAAAATAAAGCAGTCCTGTACCCTACTCGGTGGCATGGCTTAGTTTTGACAGTTTCTGAATCTTATACAACCATACTGTATGTACTTATTTTAAAATCCTGACCACAACATTTTATTTGTAAGCCACTTCTGTATATAGCTGTGGTTTCCATTCTGCAGTAATTACCACACCTGACACACAGACATGTGGTTCTCTAAGTTACTGATTCTTAAAAACATATTGCTCTGTAGCTTGTGTGGCCAGTCAGTCACCTGACTAAAAGCCTGTCCTTCCTCCGTAGCTTGCAAAGTTACCACCGTCAGCGTATCACAGGCACCTGCCTACAGGGAGGCCAAGATGCATGCTAGTGAAGCGTATTAGGAGCACTGCAGTAAGATTTAAAAAAAAAAAATTGTCTTTCTTGGGAAAGGGCCTGACATAAACCAGGCTGGCCTTAAATTTGCTCAACTGTCAAGGATAACCTTACCAAACTCTCGATCCTCCTATATCTACTTCTCAAATGCTGGGATTATGGGTACAAGGTAGTATACTCCATTTATGCAGTGACGTGGATCCAACCCAGGGCTTTGTGGTGCTACATAAGCTCTCTACCAACCATTCTGCAGCTCTAGTCTGTTTTAGCAGGTGCGTATATGGTGTGTGTGCTTGCTTATGCATGCTCACAGAGGTCAGAGGATAACACTGGGCGTTTTCCTTTGTCATGTGTGTGTGTCTGAGCACCATGTATGTGCAGGAGGGCCTGGAAAGCCAAAGAGGATGCTGGGTCCCCTACTGCTGGAGTTTTGATAGTGGCTCCCAAGAACCCGTCTCCCTCCTAGCTCTATAACTACAGTTGTGTGACACAAAAGTGGCTTTAAAATTTTATCTTTACTTTTAAATTGTGTGTGTGTGTATGCATGCATCTCTGCATATGTGTGGGGGTGCCCACAGAGTTCAGAAGAAGGTGCCAATCTCTGAAGATGGAGTTACTGGAAGTGGTAACCGACATGGGGGCTGGAAGCTGAGCTTGGATCCTCTGGAAGGGTGCTCTCTCCGCGGGAGAGCCATCTCTCCGGCCCTCACAGCTGACTTGTGGGTGATGCAGAGGGACCCCAGGCTCTCAGGCTTGTGCAGCGAGCACTCTGCCCACAGCTGTCTCCCAACCCTGCAGTAAGGTTCGAAATGAGGTCGCACACAAGCGAATTCCCCAACTCTTCAACAGCATCAGTGCTCTTGCTGATCTTTCCACCATTAGAAGGGCTCATCTGGTGGAGAGCCACAAAAAAGGGACTTCTGGGAACTTTGGGTTTTGATAGAAGAGTAGACAACAATCTTGGATAATCCAGGCAAGTAGTTTAATGCTCCCAATTTGTTTGTTTTTTTGTTTTCCTATGAAAGTTGCCCAACTAATAAAATTTTGGTAACTGAAAGGCTTATCCCTTTCATTGGTACAGGTTCCAACCGAAGAAATCCAAACAGCTGGACATTATGCTGTCAATAAGCTTGACTCCAGGAGGCAGCCATTTCTTCTCTTTGTATAGTTTGAAAAGATTTTTAATGGTGAGTGTGAGCATTTGCCTGAATGTGCATCTGTGTTCCATGCACAAGCCTCGTGTCCATGGAAGTCAGAAGAGGGTGTTGTATCCCCAGGAACTGAGTCACAGGGAGCTACTCAACCTGTGTCCTCTGCGAGAGCAGCCAGAGCTCTAACCTCTGAGCCATCTTTCCATCCCCAGGCAATGATTTCTTTAAGTACATATACCTACTGAAAGAAATTACCTTAGATCAAAGGTAAACTTCAGCGAAGACAGGGCTGCCTCCCCAGTCAAAGCTAAGGTACTTACATGGCCCTGTGTCAGCTGAGTGAGCTGCGCCATGGTGAGCTTCACTTGCCCTTGCTGCGGGCGGGGGGTGTGTGGGGGTGAAGGCTGTGCGGTCCCAGCTGCTGCTGCTGGAGGTAAGCCTTTTTGCACAGGTGCTGCAGAAGCCGGACTCGGGGCAGAAATGGCGGTGGAAACAGGCTGTCCTCGGATGATCTGAGTTACCACTTGTTGGGGAGCACCTGCACAAGCAAGACACCCCATCACTCATATGCTCTTAGCACTCTGAATGAAAATAGATGAATGCAGCTCATTTCAATCTTCCAACGTACATTTGGAAGCCAATAACCCAAGATGACCTCAAACAGGACCATAGCCAAAGCCTCCTACTGACATCAACAGAGTCAGGAAACAGTCTAGACCAAGCAATGGAGGCAGAAACAGGTAGATCTCTGTGAGTTCCAGAACAGCTGGGGCTACACAATGAGACCCCATCTCAAAACAAAACAAAAGGCATTCTTTCTGTCATACAGTAAATTCTCAAATGCAATGGCTTTGGGGCTGCATCTATCTGTGTGCTTGCTTTCTTGGGAACAATGTTCTTAAGTTTGGTAACCTTATGGGATGATTAATAATTTGCAAAAGTTTTTCATTACTGTTCCTCCTTCTAAACTTCTGGGTTATTCTCACCCACTTAAGATGACCCCAAAGATTTAGCTGTGAGTGCTTCCGAAGCCCAGGACCATATCCTGTACACTGCACGTGGGAATGATCCATGGGAAGTGAGCATTTTAGGATTTCATACTGCTTACTACCAGAAACACAGAGAAAAGGCTAGTCCTGGGGGCTAGAGAGATGGCTCAGTGGCTGGGAGAACTTGTTCTTTTAGAGAACCAGGTACAAGCCCCAGCGCCCACCCTGTGCTCACAACTGCCCCTAAGGCCATTCCAGGGATGCATTTTGGCAGGCACCGGCCCTGTCCACAATGCAGACATCCATTCAATCAAAACCATTATACGTGTAAAATGAAAGAAATATGAAAAAAAAGACTGGTTGTGGTCAGTTACATGAGGATCACCGAGATAACGCAATACATGCATGCTCTCTTTGAAAAATGCACTTTCAAGCCACATGCCCTTAACTGATGAGCCATCCCTGTAGGCCCTGTGTGTCTGGATTGTCACTAAATCTTTTTACCTTCAGCTGTGTTCTTTTTTTTCCTCCCTGGTGGCAAGGTCCAGAGACTGGGCCTTATACATACAAAGCAAAAGCTCTAGCATCAAGAGCCAGGCCTAGGCCACCGTCTCTGACTTTCAATATTGTGGTTTTAATCTGCTTACGTTAACTGTGAATGACTGAGGGTCTGGCAACTGCCTTTGTAACTTACACATACAAAAGCTTTGCTCTTTTCTTTAACGGTCCGAATGCTATGTTTTACATTTATTAGTGGTTTCCTATACTCTGTAAGTAAACTTAAATTTACTTTGTCTCTTTTTGGTGGAGAAAAAGAACAAACAGTATTGTGTTCCCACCCCACTGTGAACTAGAAATTTAATGTGCACTTACACTAATTCTGATCAATATTTACTAATACAGAGAGGCGTGTCACAATTTCCCAGACTTACTGCCCAAACACTGATAGTATCAGCAATGCATGAGTACCTGGCTGCACCATCACAGGTGTTCGAATGATCGCCTTTCCTAGTGTTGGCTGTTGAAGTGGTGTTCTAATCACAGTCATACCAGGGCGGATCTGAGGCCCTGCGATTACCTGTGGATGAACAAAGTACAATGAATTAAAATTGCTTCAGCAGGGTGGTAGTGGTACATGCATTTAATCCCAGCACTGGGAGGCAGAGACAGGTGAATCTTTGCATTTGAGGCCAGCCTGATCTACAGAGTAAGGTCCAGGACAGCCAGGAAAACCAAAACCAAACCAAACCAAAAAAAGAATTAAAGCTGCTTCAAAATTACGAAAACACAATGGACTTAGAACTTCAGGGTTTCTCTCTTACAGCCCTGGCTGTCCTGGAACTCACAAAAATCCACCTGCCTCTGTCTCCTCACTATTCATTTGAAATTTCAGTCAGTGTTGGTATAAAGGTGGAATTCTGAGGACAGAAACTTTAACTCAAATGAGAGATGAAATTCTTTGGCACTGATGACAAAAATCCCTGGGAGACTAATAGGCAGGAAAAACCAGGAAAGCTCAGCTCGGTCACGAGTGCTCAATGATGAGGCCAGGCTGAGTCCTAGGACCCGGAGACTGTAATAAATAAACAAAAATCAAAGTTTAAAAAGCAACAATAATGAGCACTTTACTTCAGTTTTCTAATTAGAGTCGGAACATTTTGACTTTAAAATTTTTTCCATGACACTAGTGCCAAAGAAATGTTGTATCTAATATGTCATGTAACAGTTGACATACAGTATATTCCAATCTGTTTCTTTTTTGATCAGAAATGAGCTAAATCAGATGAATTACAAGCACAGGTGAGAGAGAACTCTTGCCAGTGGGAGCAGATGCCAGAGGGTTAGGGTTAGGAGGTGCTGTCCATCAAGCCACACAGCTTTCTCCAGAAAATATTGCCGAATAATAATTACTTACAACAATACCAACATGCAATTAATCAAATGCCAAAATTAACGTATCATGTACCGTTTTTGTTCACTAAAAATACAAAAATTTCTGTATGTATTTCCAAATTGGTACTTTATCACAGACGAAATCATGGCAAAGAAAGATGAGCTGAACTGACGCTGGAAGAGGCCACAGGAATGTCACCTTCACGTGTCCAACATTCCTCAACAGAGGAGTCTGGGAAGAGGCTTACCTGTGACGCGGTAGTGGTTCCTGCAGAGGCTGAGGTATTGGGCCTAATTGTGACGGTTGCGGTCCTGGGCTGGAATGAAGTAAAGGTCTGCTGACTTGGACCTGTTGTCGATGGAATGATACCCAGGACTTTCTGCTGCACTTGGACCACGCCTTCAAGAGAGACGAAGAAGACATGAACCACTACCCTCCACGGAAAGAGTGAGGCGCTTCTTGGTGTCTGAGGAGAAACTGCGTGTGGTGGGTTGCAGAGTGGCTACACAGAATGTGAGACCTGACGACTGAGACCAGTGAGGAGGAAATGGAGTGATGGCGACAGCATGATCTGGCGAGGGTGAACTCAAACTCTGCGAGGTTCCCTTACCTCCTTGTGTTGCTGGCACATTTACAGCGACAATCTTGCTGTTTGCAGGAAGTGGCAATTTGGTAATTACTTTTCCTGCCATAGTGACGGGACTGCCTGTAATTTGGAACGTCTGACCTGTGCTGGCAATGGTGGTAGCAGAGGTGGCAGCTGTGCTGGTGGCTAATGGGGTATAAGACATTTAATGAGCTTTAGACTTTTAAATAACCAGCAGCGTACTGACTTCTAGGAAGGGCACCGATGCGTGAAATGTGGCCCGTTCTGTAATGATAGAAACCTCCTCTCTGCTCCGAGTGCGCCATGTGGGTACTGAAGGTAAGGACTGCAGAGAGGGGCTCCACAAAGAGCGCCTGTGACAAATGACTGCCACAGCTGGCCTGTCAAGCAGTGGCAGAAGCAGAGCAACTCTCTCACGAAATGAAGGTTAGAAATGCTTTTCCCAACCCAGAAGAAGAGCAATGTTTCATTCACCCCGGCTCTACCTGAATTGGATTGGCCTTGCTTCACCCACGTGGCAAAAGTTTGATGGAAGTTCTTGTTTTGCTGGAATGTGACTGTGGCAGGAGATCCAACTTTTGTGGCTAGCACCATCTTTGTTCCAGGGGTGACTGAGCCACTCAAGGGAGCCACCATCACCTTCTGAGCTGGGGAGACGGTGCTGCTCGTGCTGTTTGTTTGGGACGTGGTGGACGCTACGACTGCAGGTTTCTGCTGCTCCAAGCGTTTCTGAGAGTCAAGGAGAGGAAGCGTGAGCTCCGGTTCTCCACAACAAACCCCATGCTGTAGGATGTCTGGATACTGAACTTCCAAAATGAAAGCATGCCTGGCTAAGCTTAGCCTGAACCCTTCACGAAGGTTCTAAGCCTCTACATCATTATACATTGTTCACAAATAAAAAAGTTAAATGATTAAAATGCTCCAGTGTTAAGAGTGGGAAGTCTTACTGGAGACAGGACCCCGTGACTCAGTGTGAGCAGGAAGAAAGGGGTGGGCCTGACAAGGCAGCTGTAGCTTAGGTTAGCCAATCATAAAGATCATGATGGTAGGGGTTTTTTTTGTTTGTTTGTTTGTTTGGTTTTTTTGTTTTTGGCTTTTCCATACAGAGTTTCTCTGTGTAGCCTTCTCTGTTCTGGACTTGGTTTGTAGAGCAGGGTGGCCTTGAACTCACAGAGATCTGAGGTCTCTGCCTGCCCAAGTGCTGGGATTAAAGGCGTGCATCACTGTGCCCCACTGTAGTTTTTATTACTACTATTCAGGTCAGCAAACTTATGATCAAGCTAAATGGAAATTAAAGTTTTGAGACATTGTTACTGTTTATTTAGAGTCAGGGTCTCATTCTGTAGTTCAAGTCAGCCTGGAACTAACGCTATGTAGTCTTGAACTTGGAGCAATCCTCCTGCTCCAGCCTCCTGAGTACTGGGAATATGTCATGGACTATGTAAGTACATGAAAGGTACTATAAACGCTTTATATAGAAGGGAAAAATCTCATCATCAGACACCAGGGTTACTAGGGTTACAGCTTATTTGGTAGAGTCCTTGCCTGGCATGTACAAGGCTCTGGGTTCATTGTTCTGCACTGCAAAAAATAAAAATGAAAACAAAACAAAAAGCCCATAGAGTAAAATTTCATACAGTGGGCACATCTGTAATCCCCACTCCCAGGAACATTTTCAAAATTGAGACCAGCCAATGCAAAAGAGCAGGACACACTCTCAAAAACCAGGCTAGGCCTAGTGGCACATGCCTTTAAACCCAACAGGGTGAGGTAGAGGGAGGTGGTTGTTTGTAAGCTTGAGGCTCGCCTCCTCTATACACAGAGTTCCAGAATAGCTAGGGCTACACAGGCTCTGTCTCAAAAACTAAAACAACAAACAAACAAAAATCAAAGCAAAAAAGGTGGAAAAGACAATTTGTATGATTTTTTATTTGTTTTGTTTTTTCGAGACAGGGTTTGTATGTAATAGAGCCCTGGCTGCCCTGGACTCACTTTGTAGACCAGGCTCTCCTTGATCTCACAGAGATCCACCTGCCTCTGCCTCTGAGATCAAAGGGACGCGCCACCCTGCCCACCCAACTTGTATGTTTTTAATTAAAGACTGCTGGAATTTATCTACAGTTTATCAACAGTGGTCTAACAAGAAACAGCACAGGCTTCCAAGTATGAAAATTTAGGTAGGACAAACTGGATGTGTAATACTGCACTTAGCAATACTTCTCACTAAATCAGGAAGCTGGCACTGTGAACACCAAACATGAAGAGACTCAGGCTCAGACAGGCTGTGCAATCAGCTCATGACGGAGCTGTGATTAAGCCATTAAGATCCACTCAAAAGGGTGAGGCAGGAGGGTTGCCTTGAGTTTTAGGATGCCTGAGATACAGAGTAACACCATCTCAAAACCACAGACAAGAGCTGAACATGGTGGGAGGCAGAGGCAGGAGGACTCCCATGAGTTTGAGGCCACCTGGAGGTCTGGGAGAGCCTGAGCCACAGGAGACCCTGTTTCAGACTCTACTGAACCCATATCCCAGGGCTTCACCTCTCCTCTATAGTCACAGCCCTTCTATTTGGATTGTTTTTGCAGACAGACCATATGCTTGAAGAGAATTTGAAGTATTTCATATTAATGCTTATTTATTAGACGTGAAGGAGCTTAGTTTTGCATACTCAGAGACATCATCTGATCCAATTAGTTCACAGAAAACAGAAGAAATGGAACACGTAATTAAGAGTATTTCAGTAGGAGAAATGCATTAAAAACTTGAAGTAGCAAATTAAGAAGTGCCACATTAGGTTGTGTTGCAGAGATGACAAAACTTAACACCAATAAAAGCAAAGAACAGAACAAGTAGCCAGTTGCTATAGGAACAGTTGCTTACGATTTTTCTGTACATTTCCATGGAGGAATTAAACACATAACCCCAAAGTGCTATTTAACCAAAGTTTAAGCAAAGAGAAAGATGCATAGTAAATTGAAAGACATGCTTTATAAAACATGAAAAAAGAATGGCTTGAAACCTAAAAAAATAAGCATTGACCGCAAAGAACTCAAAGCCTCAGTGAACTTCCTCACCAGCCACATTAGAGTTTAGCAGGAAAGAAATTCTTTCTAGAAACTACTCAGAGAATTGTAACAACAATAATCAAGGGATTCAATCCCTGCAAGCATGTGCACCATTTGCAGAACCACAGATTCTTGTATCACAGAGGTATTATCAGGAAATGAAACATGAGGCACACTTTTAAAAGCCTCATGTAAAGCCGGGTGCAGCGGTGCACGCCTGTGATCCCAGCACTCTGGAGGCAGAGGCAGGCGGATCTCTGTGAGTTTGAGGCCAGCCTGGTCTACAGAGTGAGTCCAGGACAGCCAGGGCCACTCAGAGAAACCCTGTCTCAGGAAAACAAATAAAGCAAACAAACAAACAAACAAACAAAAAAGTGAGTATATAATTCCTGGGCCTTTGTCTCCTCAATTGGGCTAAACGGTCCCATCTCATCCTGTCCCATCCATTTCTCCTCCCCTCTCCCCGTCAGCAATCCCACCTGCTGCCCACTGACCTTAGCCTGCTGCTCCACCGCTTGAGCCTTTTCTTTCTCCACTCTGTGGGGGAAAAGGAGCAACTATCAGACCGTTTATAAATTACATCTGGCTGACTAGGCATCATATGTTTAACACTATTTCTGTGTTAAATGAACATTTAAGATGATTTAAAAATAACAAATACATATAATACTAACACACTAGATTTAAAAACAGGACTTAAATAAACTACCCAGAATTAGCCCGTAAATCAAAAGGTAGAGAAAAATTAATCAGAATGGATTAAAGAGACTATTACTGTTACAATTGTCTAGTTCTGAAGCTACAAAAGCTTCAAACACCTGACAGGGTGCTAACTGGTTACCTCTCAGCGAAAGCCCTGATCTCCCAGAGTTCCAGTTCCTCTTCCGCCACCCAGGTTTCAATGATAACTGGGCCCGTCTGCTTGGGTGTTTCTGGTCTCTTTGGCCGCAGCGCACTTGACCGAAGGCCTTTCCGCTGAGGTGTGGGTGTTTCTTGGTGAGAGAAATCAGAATGTTTTCAGCAATACTGTTTCTATGGAGTTCTTCTGACATCTCACATCATCATGAGGCATGGTGGCTGGCAAGCCACATCTTTTAATTTAAGACATAGTCTGCTATAAGCCCAGGATGCCACCAACAGCCAAACTTTTCTTTTTAAAAGGCAAGATACTGTAAATCCTCGAGACCACACAGACCAGAAGGTCTACGCTGCAAATCTAGACCAAAGTGCCTGTAGTAGGAGAGATGGCTCAGTGGTTAAGCCATCTGGCTGCTCTCCCAGAAGATCTGCGTTCAATTCATAGTACCCAAACGCAACAGCTCATAACTCTCTGTCCCTCAGTTCCAGGGGATCTGACACCCTTACACAGGCACACACACAGGCAAAACACCAACACACATAAAATAAAGATAAATCATTTTTTAAAAGAATCAGCAGAAAAACAATGTCTGAATTACATACAGCCGTGTTCCAATCAAACTTCACTTGGAACAGCAGGCAGTGGTCGGGGCTCACAGGCCACAGGAAAGGGCTGGTGTGCCTTTACATCACCTTCTCTGCCTGGAACTCTGCTCCTTATCCTGTGTCCACATGTAACTAAGAGTAAGTCATTGTTGAGACTCCAACATCAATACAATTTCTGTCGAGAGATTTAGTATGCTGCCATTTTTCTAGCTATGACACGGGGGTACAGAAGATGACCATCTTTGAGGGACTCGCAGGAAGCAAGGCTAATAACCATGGGGGAAAGAAGGGGCTTCCCTTTCTGCTGTGCTTGACTGCTCCCTCTTCTTCTTCACCAACACTGCCCTTCTATGTACGCTGCGGCATGGTGAGAACTCCCTATGGAACCCAAGCCATGGCATCTTTCTGATTGAGCCCCCTGATGCACCGCTGCACTCACGTTGTGGGTCACAGCGGACCTCGATCTCTGTACCCCCAAAAGACTAAAGCAAGCCTTACAGTCTTTCACAGCTAAGACGGCAGTACCCATTCCCCTGCGCAACACTGGGGAGACATTTACCCAACATAAAAAGGGGATCCAAAATGCTGAAGAACATGCAAAAACCTTCCAATAAGATTTAAAACACCAAGCTGGGCATGGCACACACCTGTAATCCAGCATTCAGAGAGGCAGAGGCAGGCAGATCTCTGTTAGAGACCAGCCTGGTCTTCAAAGTAAGTCCAGGACAGCCAAGGCTACACAGAGAAACCATGTCTTGAAAAACAACAATATCTAAACCACTCTAAAGAGGGATAAGAACTGAGCCTTGTCCAGTGCTGAGTGGCAGTAAGTTCTCAGGGAGCAGAGCGGCAGTAGAGCCAGGCCTGCACAGAGCACAATGGTACAGGACAGTGACTCAGGAGATGCTGGGGTATGCCAGGAGAAGACCTGCTGGGAAGGCATCTCCAACCTACGCTCTGCCTACCAGCTGAGCTACCAACTTTGGTGCCTGGATAGCAGTATTCCATTATCCCCAGAGCCGAAGCTACTTACCAGTATTCTTTCAAATGGGTGTTATTCCCCAGCGTCATTCATTAAAATAAAGTCTAATATCAACAGATGTATAATCTAGGGAGAATAATTTTTAAAGTGTTTCTTTGTGAAGACCTTTTCTCTTCCACACTTACTTTTTTTTTTTTTTTATATTTATGCACATGTGCAGGTCTCTTATATTATGGATACTTATGTGCTTGTGTGAGCGTCTGCATGAGTTAATATGCACATACATGCAGGAACCCATGGAGTTCAGACAAAGGTCTCAGAGCCCCTGCAACTGCAACGTGTAGGTGCTGGGAACTGAACCTGGGTCCTCCACCAGAGCAGCAAGCACTCTTAACTGCTGAGCCATCTCTCCAGGCCCTCATCTCCTTGGTGTTTGAAATAGGTCTCACTCTGTAAGCCAGGCTAGCCTGGGACTCAAAGCAATCTCCTGTCTCCGTGATTATTTTTTATGTTCCTTAATACAGGAGCAGTCTGTAGTGCCAATAAGGAATTTAAGGAGACAACTATTACCAAACTTCAACTAACAACCAAGACATTTTTCTATGTCTTACCTTTCGGTGCTTCTGGAACTCCAATGGGACAAATGATCTTCCTGATACAATACTCAGAACGAATGCCGTAAGGACCCACATCACGCCTCTTAATTATCTCTGTGGTTGTGATTTCAGTTTCAGAAGTTTCTATGGGAACATGATTTACACATTTAATAACCACCTGGAATATGAGGACACTTAGAACATGTAGCTGTTGATACGTCTTTAAGGATGTGAATCCGAAATGATGTTTTAGAACATCTGGTTTATTAATAACCACAGCGTTACTGCTTGGTTACATTAGCTGAGTTTCTTCCTGGTGAAAGTTTCAAGCATAGTCTTTCCAGCCTAAGGTGCTGCTGTTTGTTTTTAAGTTAGGGTCCTCATGATGCAGCTAGGCTCCTCATTCCTTTCCTTTTTGATACAAGGTTTCACTCTACAGCCCAAGGTGGCCTAGAACTTGGTGTGTAAGCCCAGGCTGGCATCAAACTGGTGGCAATGCTTCTGCTTCAGCATGAGTAGCAGAAGAAAAATTAAGTGGAAAAACAAAAATAAAATTAAAAAAATGTGTGAAAGGTCCAAGCTAACCCCCAGAGGCAGCACTCAATCAAAACAATGCTTGAGGTTACACTATAAGATAATAACTATCATTTGAAAACTTAGTTGGGTCTGTGTGTGCTGACTCACCTATAATGTGAACCTTGCCCTATAACCTTGATTGCGTGGCACCTGAAAACTTGAGAGTACACTTCTATACATGCTGGGCAAGGGCTACAGCCACAGACTCCTTTCTAATTTCTTGGCTTTTTTGTTTGTCTGTTTTTTTTTTTTTTTTTGGGGGGGGGGGGGGGAGCGGAGGGAACAGTTCTTCTAGCTGGCTTTGAGCTAAGTAGCCCAACAGGTCTTTAAATAGATCCTCTTGCTCAGCCTCTTAAGCAGCTGGCATTATAGGCCTTACTGTCAGGTCTGGCTACCTCTTTTTGGTACACAGTCTCATGAAATCAAGGATGGCCTTGAACTCACAGGTGAAGATTACCCTGAACCTTTGATCCTCCTGCCTCCTGCTTCTCAAGTTAAGGTTATAAGCACGCGACGCCATAACCTGGTTATGCGGTGCTAAGAACGCACCTCAGGCTCTATACATAACATATGTACGCACTCTAGCAGGTAAGCTCCATCATTGGTCCACACCTTTTAAACTTAAAGTCCGACTCCCTTACCTGTCCGTGTAGTCCCTCCTCCTGGAGGAGCCTTGGCTGCCATGTCATCCCATCTCAAACTGGCCCAGAGTAACCGTAACATCAGGCTCACTCCTGCTAAGGACTTTACCGTCTGAAGTCTATACCTGAAAGAACAACCCAGATCAACTGCATATAGACATACAAACACATACCCATTCACTCTCTCTTCTCTTCCTCTATGAAACTGAAAGACATGTTTTTGACACTCACTATGTACTCAGCATTTGTAACACAGTTCTGTAACACTATGATATTACAGAGTCTTTAAAATAACACCTTTGAGTTACTAGGATAGTGTGCATTTAATAACTTTAAATCATGGAGGTTCACTTCCAGTGCAATATAAATATATAAGGCACTTTATCTTTTTTTTTTTTTTGATTTATTTTTCATATATGTGTGCTCTATCTACACGTATACCTGAAAGCCAAAAGAGGACATCAGATCCAGAGATGTTGGGAGCTACCAAGTGGTTGCTGGGGATTGAGTTCAGGACCTCTAGAAGAGCAAACAGTGCTCTTAAGCACTGGACCATCTCTCCAACCAAGTTGTTTCATCTTAAGATGGACAATTAATAAAGATCTTTTCATTAATTTACTAAAATATCTGCATGACAAATTCTGGAGAATTCAGTAACTGTGTTACTAAATTTGATAGAGGAGTCTTGGAGACAAAAACCATGATGAAATAGTTTTTGATAAAACAACAACAAAAATCTGAATGTCAAAGAGTAAAACAAAACTGAAACACTCTGCCAACACAAGACCACCTTTCCCAACAGGAAGGAATTCTGTCCCCACGGTGGCTCTTACAAACATGAGCTCATGCGCACTACACATAATACGAAGAGTGAAAATGCTGCCAAAGTTTGGAGTCCTAGGAAGAAAGCCATTACAGAAAGCCGCAGCCTGCACCAGCCACTCAGATGAAGAGAAGGGAACCTGGGCTCATGTTCTTTCTTAAGCATGAGTGTGAAGTTACTGAATATACTTTTCCTTTTAAAAGTAATACTCAAAACATATCTGAAAATGAAATTACTCAATTTCACTGAATATTTTATCCTAAAATGGAATTCACTGTAACATCAATTAAAGCAGCCAACAGCTGTCAATTCCCTATTAAGACCTGCATAATCAGATTTCCTTTTGGATATTCTCACACTACATGAAGTGAATCTATAGGCTGAATGCAGCATAGAGAAAGCTTACATAATGAAAATAATTTCCCCCACTAGCAGGCAGACAGTATGTCTTAGGCCAACCTTGCATGGGAAAGGTGGTCCTTTCTCTATTACTATCATTTGAGAAAATGAATGTGAGATGGTAAAGCTCTAGTCAAATGGTTACTGTGCCTGGCTGATTCCTAGCTCCAACTGTGAAATGTTTTTTTCACATAACAACCTGGGCAGAGCCTTTAAATTAGCAGCAAGATCCTGACTAGCATAGAGATATCCTGAGAGTAATAGTCACTTTCAGGGCATGCCACACAGAAAGCTTTGTAGAAGTTTGGTATGCCAGAACAAGCTATTCCTTTCCTTTCTTTTTCCCCAACACAGGATTTCTCTGTGTAGCTCTGGCTGTCCTGGAACTCGCTTTGTAGACCAGGATGGCCTTGAACTCTGGCTCAGACTAAAGGCATACACCACCATGCCTGGCAAGAACAAGTACTTCCTATTCTCTCTTCCCCTCTACTGTTCTCTAGAGTCAAACAATAACTTTGAACCCTCTCTCCACGGGCCTTGACTCACACATAACACCCTCTACTTTCCTGAGGACAGAACCGAGAGTCTTGTACATACCAGCAAGCCTCTACCAATGACCAATATCCCAAAGAGCAACGCTATTTTAAAATGCAGGTAACATCAGTGGATAAACGCATCTCATAGAGTCTGCTGATTCATTCACTCACACATTCATTCATTCAAACAATGGAGTGTCAGTGTGTCAAGACTGTGAATGAAGCTGGGATAGAAAGTTTGTTAGACTCTACCTGTTAAGAGCTGTAAGAGAGGTTAAGTACATAGGTCTGCAAAGCACATCTTAATCGGACATATGGCTGGCTGACTGAAGGCAAGGGGCACACACACAAGAAGGAACACAGTGTGTAAAAGCCACACACTTGTCACACGCCACAACCTGTGTTGTTATGGCCAGAGGGAAGGCGGTGGGCACAGTTGGTAATGCATAGAGAAGAAAGCAGAAGTCAGAAGGAGCTATGCCGGAGAGAAGGCTTAAAGAAAAGTGTGGGAAACTAGATACCAAGGCTTCCCATTCTCTCCTACTGATTTTCAGGTGAGACACGCTTCCCCCTCCTTTCCCTGTAGTCATCAGCACGTCCCTCAATCACTCAGAATAATCTCAGCAGACACGTTAGCAGGATCCCTCTAGTATCAGCCTTATGGAGAACAACTGCCAGTTCAAAATGACAGTGACATATAGTTATGCCCAGGAAAACATGTATAAGGAAATGTGTGTACAGAGGTCAAAAAGTCTTCACTGCATCCATGACACATAGCGCTCAGCTTTAACATTACATTTAAAAATCTGCACTACACATGCTGAGCCTGCATGTGTCTTGACTACTTATGAGGCTGAGGTGGGAGGACAGGAATTTGAGGCCAGCCTGGGCTGCACAGCTAGACCCATCAGAACCACCGTTCAACAAATAAATAAAAAGTCACACATCAGGTCTTAGAAACACCTGAGATTCAAAAGCTAGCATAAAAATACACTTTACATGAATAGTTCTGTAATAATAAATAAATAAATAAAGAATAACACGGGGTTTTTTGTTTTGTTTTGTTTTGTTTTGTTTTGTTTTTACCCAGGCTTCTATTAGTCAGAAGAGATAAATGTTTATTTCAACTTCAACAATTAAGAATGTACAGGAAGGTATTTCTTTCCATTAAAAAGATGACTGACCAAACAGATATGATGCATGCCAGCGCAAATAAAAACACTGTAAGTCAAGGCGCCCACACTACAGCCATGCATGCAAGGGCTCTGGCACCCCATTAGGATTGGGACCTGTTTCTCCCCAGGCTCAGAGAACAGCACTTCCCAGCAAAACTACCTTTCGTTTCGGAACACAAGGAGCATAAAGGCCAGGCCCCTGCCTGCCAGGGCATCTTAGTTCATCTACTTGTATGTACACAGTAACTTTTCCAGTGGGAAAGAAGTTACCTGCAGGACAGTCAAGGATGCACTTTGGGACCGCTCTCAATGAAGAAAGCAAAAAAGTGCAGAGCAATCCTACAATTCCATGAACTGCAATGAAGAGCTCCTTGATTCCCTGCAGGATTCTGCAAATCCTTCACTGCAGGCCCTGCAGAGAAAGTGTACTTTTCAGCTGTCTCTAGTGTACGGGCATGAAGTGAAGACATCTTACTTCAAACCAATGATGAGGTATAAAAACGTGCTCACACAAACACTGAGTGGTCACCAGATTGAATGATTCCTCTAGGGAGGGCTCATAGTTACATGGCTTTTGTGGTCTTTTCTGACACTAGCTAGCTGACTGTAATATAAAGGTCATAAAGAAGGAGGATGTTAATGGAAGCTGAAATATTAAGACACTGAAATGAAGTCTTAAGAGAGATGATGCTCTGCTCAGTAACTAGCTGGAACAAATAACCATAAAACCAATGCAGCCTACAGCACTGCTTTCCAGGCTCTCTGTTCTCACTGCTTACATTCATCCCTCTCAACAAGGGTGAAAAGATAGACAGAGACATGAAAGGGACAGAACACGGATAAGCAAGCATGTGAAAGCGAAAAGCACATGAAGTGCTCAGCTGGGGTCAGGAAAACCAGGTGCTGTGCTTGACCTGGCCTCTGTGGTCATGGACAAATTACTCTATGTCCATAGAGGAACTTCTGAGCCCTCTTCCTACTGACAAATGAACACAGGCTAACAATTGTCAATACTCTAAACTTAAGATTCTAAATAAGACTATTTCGGCATTTTAAGACATTCCTAAGGAAATTACAGTCTATCTTTTCTTTCATAAATAACTGAGAACTTCAAAACAAATTTATCAGATAAATTAGTTTCACTATGAAGGCACGACATGACGGTCTTCTTCATGAATCCCGGGAATTGGTAGCCCTATTCAGTAGTTGCCATGGTGTTAAGCAAAAATAGGCAATAACCTGGAAAGTTAGACCCTAAAAACAAGTGTGGCATTTCCTTTTCTTTCATGGAAGTTAAAATGGACATGCATGTTAAAAGAATCCGGTCTATTTCTGGAAAGTCCGTGGCTTCTGGGTAACTTTAGTATCAACGTACCACTGGCTGGCCATGCTAGCAACTTTCTGTATCTCCTTTCCATCACTAACCCTGGCCATTACACATGTGCTTCCTCTCTTCCGCCATCTCATTTTACTTAGAAATGAAATTCAAACAAAAACAAAAAATGCTCTTTACAAAGCCCACCCCCCAATAATGTTTTAAAGGACATACCTCCATGTGATACCAAAGGTCGGTCTAGGAGAAGGATATGGCCATATATCCAGCGCAGGTTTTGCATTATAATTAAAGTAAGGGACTTCTCGGATCCCTCCTTTCCTGGCCAGCTTTTTCAAGTCATCGCTGGGCAACACGAATATGCTCTTTTTGCTGCTCTTGGTAACGAATTTCCTGTAGGACGGCAGGGCTGTTCCTGAGCGGGTCTTCCTGGGTCTTGAGAACTTCATGAGCTTTACTCTGTCTCTTGTGGAGTACTCTTTGCTCACTGTCATAGATGTCACCAGTGTGCTCCCTGCCGTGGTCAGGGCGTCTGTGACTGTCGTGGTGACCACAGTTTTGCTCTGCTCCTTTACAGAGACGGTGTCCACACCACTGTCTGTGGAGGGTGTGCAGAGCTTTGTCACAGTGGTAGTGGTAGTTGTGACAGTGGACCTGGCACAATTCTCTGTGGAAGAAACCACAGTTTGCTTGTCCCCTTTTGCTACCTTAATGACAGTTTTTGATTCTGTGGCAACCGTCGACGTCATTGTGGTGACTTCTGTGATGACCGTTTTCCTTCTGGATTCTCCACTGACGCTCTCATCGTTGCTGGACGACAGACCATTTTCATCCATCAAGTCCTCACTAAGGGTAGAGCCCTCTGTCCCAACGGGGGATGGAGTAACCTTCTTACCCTCTGGACCTTCCGTTTCCATGTCTTCCACCTGGTTTAATGAGCTATGTTCTGAATGAGGGGCTGGGGGTATGGTTACCTGTGTACTGTCAGGCGCTTTGGTGGCTAGTAGGACATGGAGGTCATCTTGGTGATTCCCTTTGGCATCTGAAGAACTCAGTGAATGTGAGTTGGTTTCTGAACAACTGTTCTGTTCATTGAAATCTTCCATGATGACGTCACCATTGACGAAAGGCTTCACAGCAGATTCTTTAACAGCCAGTGACTTGACATTTCCAGGGATGGCTTTATTGATATTATTGACCTTTGGTTCAGCAGTACCACTCACAGCTTTACTGTCAGAGCCATCCTTCACACACTGTCCCTTGAGATACCCTTTAGTTTTACTCTCTTTGCCATTTATTTGAAATTTATTTGCCTTCTGTCCTTTCTTTTCAGACTCTCTATTTTCATTATTCTTTTTGTCAGTGGTATGTTTTAGGCTTGTTTGGTCGGTGCATTTGTTAACTGGTCTCTCATCCAGTTTTTGGTTCTGGACTGTTTTTTTACCATTTGATTCAGTTACCTTACCCTGTAGTTTGTCTTCACAATTTTCAGTGGATTTAGAAAGTAACTCACATTTTGATGGCTCTACACTATGGACACCTTGGTCTGGAGTTATGAACTGCTCATTGCTATTCTGAACAATCATGTCTTCTTCATTACTACCCTGAACACACATAGTATCAGAACTATTTTCCAAAGTGCTATTATATTTAGAGTCACAACCTACTTTCCCATCGAAGTCCAATGCTTTTGGTAAGGACCGGACATCTCTGTCAATGGTACTTTTAGGTACTGATGCAGGCAATGTACTCTTGGAAGAAGACACACTGCTGCTGCTATCTTCCTGTGAGGGTGGTTTCTTGCTCTGATAGATGAAATTGCCAGCATCATCTGCCCTGGTTGGTGTAGAGTCATCAATCAAAGAGTCACTTCCTTTTGTTTTAGTTTGACTCAGCTCCAGCCCCTTACCGGCAGGTTCAGAGAGACTGGTATCTAGGTCACTGTCAACAGAGTTCTGTCTCTGACAGTTTGGCCCTGGACTCTGAGTGGAGACATCATCTAATACTTGATCTTTTGAATATAGTTTGTTTGTGCTGAGACTAGGACCACTGATGCCAAGAACCAAGGACTCACTTTGTGAGCAACCCTGGCCCACGTCTGCAGGGCTAGCCTGACTTGGACTGGGGGTTTGTTCCTGTCTAAGCAAGTCACCCCGACATCCTTCAATTGCTTTTGTGGATATTGGGGATTCGGAGGAGCTTTTCAGAGCGCCTGTGGGGGACTTGCCTACCCCCTTCAGGCCGTTCTCCAGCTTTAACTTTTCAAGGCGCTGTTTCTCTTCCAGTGTAAACTGTCGAATCCTCCGTTCCAGAAGCCCGTCCAACTTAGAGGATTTTGTTTTCTTTTTGTAACTAGTCCTTAGATGGAACCCCTCACTGACATTGACCACGTCCACTTGCGTGCTCTCCTGACAGTCCACATGTGACTCTGTTTTCACATTATCATCGATCTCCATTGGTTCTTCCTTGAAGGACTTGTCATTATCAGAATCTAAAAGTTCTTTTACATCTGTAAATTAAAGACATTGATAAATACGTAATTTTTACTCTGAAATTAGGAATTCATGAGACTATTTTCATTTCTAGAAGTATCTACTTTTGTTATTTTTACTTAAAAATAGGTCATGGACACTGTTAAATTGTAAATAGAATTTAAAAATAGATACACTTCAAATACCAGATGTTTCTGATTTCTGGTACCTAAATTGATGGGTTCCATGGTGGAAAATGACATTATGTCTGCAGGTATGGTCAGTTATCAACTGTGTTGCCCTTGAGGTGTGTTATCCGGCACTGCAGAGGTAGAGGCAGGCGTAGCTTGAGTTTGAGGACATGCTGGGCTACACAGCAAACTAATCTAAACAAAAAAACCTAAGAATCATCTCTATTTTATTATTTGAGACTGACTGTCTCAACTGAACCCACAGCTTATCAATACAACTAGTCTAGGTAGCAAGGCTCTGACTTCAAGTGCTAGAATTATAGGCAAGCCACCAATGCCAAAGTAAAGTGATATGTACATGGATTCTGGGAATACAAACTCCCAATCCTCATACTTAAGCTCCAACCACATGATCCAGTATGCCATCTCTCTAGTTTGCTTATGTGAAAGAAAACAAAACAAAGCAAAAAAAAAAAAAAAAAAGTTTAAAGCATTTTTATTTATATATACCTCACTGGTCCTCAAGTTTCTCAAAAGCTTAAATATGGTGTTTCCATTCAATCCAGCAATTCCATTCCTTGATATAACCTGTATCTACAGAAATACCTGTCCACAGAGCTGCTAAGATGGGTCACTGGGTAAAGGCTTCCTGTTAAGTGTGTGAGGATCTGAGTTTGATCCCTGGAACCCACAAAAATTAAGTAAACTTAATGTTAAAAAAAAAAAAAAAAAAAAAACCAAAACACTCAAACATTAGCTGGTTATGGTGGCACCTTTAATCCCAGTACTCAGGAGGCAGAAGCAGGTAGACAGCTCTACGTTCCAGGCCAGGCTGATCCACACAGTGAGTTCCAGCCCAATCAAGAGTTACACAGTGAGTCCCTTTCACAAACAAACAAACAAACAAACAAACAGAAAAGTCCCAATTATTCATTGATCAATGACTAGACAGATGAGTTGTGGTCTACCAACGCAGTGCAGTATTCTTCGGAATATGCTCCAAAGTGGATTAAAGGAGAAAAGCAGATTGCCTGATTACATTGAAATGAAATGTCTAAAACAAGACAAATAGACAGAGAATAGACGGATGGGGCGGGACCAGCAAGCAACTTCCTTTAGCATGATGAAAATGTTGTCAAATTGTCCTCAGCGCTGAACAAGTCTGTGAACAGCTACAGCACTTACAGATTAGCAGGGTGATTTAACCGCCCCATGAACCATGCTGACATGAGAGGGCACGGTGCGTGGCCTGGGAAGCTGGCCCAGGGCACTCCTCCCCCTGCCATCCCTCCTGACCCTGCTTACCTTGCTCCTTCTTCTCAGGCACCTTGGAGAACTCCATTGCACTATCATCTGCTCCAGCTGTAGCATTCCCATCTTTTGCCTCACCTTTCTCAGAATCACACTCTGTCTTAATTTTTTTTGGACTTCTTGGACTTTTTCTTTTATCTGATTCATCCTTATTTTCATCCGTATTATTTTTGGCTGAAAAGAATCACATGTGTGGCCACAGATATTCTGAATGTAAGTTTTTAAAAGATTTTTTTATTTATGTGTATGCCTGTATGTCTGGATACATATCTGAGCGCAGGTGCCCTGAGAGGCCAGAAGAGAAAATCAAAGTCCCTACAGGTAAGGGGGTTAGAGCTACTGAATGTGGGTGCTAGGATCCAAACTCTAGTTTCTACAAGTGCCCTTAACCTTGGAGCCACTCCTACAGGCCCCTGACATTAGAACTGAATGTATTTAGTTCAGGTGAAGCCACCAAGTACTACCTGATAAGTACAGTTCACTGGTTCTAATTAAAATACAGATAGCTCTTGAGGAATGACACTCAAGAATGACCTCTGACCTCAGCATACACAACACACACAATGGTGAGCTTTACACACACACTCTGAGCTTTACAACTCAGAATACTGGCATCCGTCAGAGGGCCCCTATTCATTCCCTGTCTGAGTTTATATGAATAATAACTCTGAAAATGTCAACTAGTATTGGGGTGGTCGAACCGAAAAAAAAAAAAAAATACAGGTTTTGAAAATAATATTGTAATTTCATGGCTGAGAATTTTTAAAAATTATTCTCTCTCATTTTTCTTTCACTTTTCTTTCCGCTTGTTAAGAGCACCTGAGATTTTTGCAGAGGACCTGGGTTCAGTTCCCAGAACCATGGCTAAAAGTGGCCAACAGCTATCTCTAACTCCAGGGCCAGGCGCCTTCATACTCTATTCCTGGCCTCCATGGGGACCAGGTATAAACATATGGTGCACACAGATGCATGAAGGTGGAACACTCATATACACGAAATATAAATAATCTCAAATACAAAAATTAGAGCTTCTAACAGTAAACCAAACCAGTAATTTCCCATATACTATGAAATCCTAAGAAATAACACCACTCAAAAGTGGTTCTATTAAGAGAAAAACTAAGGCAGCAGTGGTAGTGCTGGCGGAGGCGGGGCAGGAAGGTAGTCTGTTGAATCTGAGGTCAGCCTGCACTATAGAGTGAGGTCTAGGACAGCCAGGACTATACAGAGAAACCCTGTCTTTAAAACAACAACTACAACAACATCAAAAGAGAAAACACAAACAAACCCAAACCACCAGCAATGGAAACATTAAAGATTTCATATAAGCTGGATCTATTAAAACAGTTGATGACTCACTTCCTTCAAAGGGCTTCCTGTAGTTTACATTAGTATTGCCAGGTAATTTTGGAAGAAACCTATAAACATGTGTTTTACTAATCCAGCTCCAGCCGCCATACCCTGTCACTCTGTATTCTTCTCCTTTCTGTTTCCAAACCTGGTAAAAATGAAAGTACAATGGTTACACACCACCCAGAGCAAGAGAAGTATCTGTCAAACAAAGCTAAGAATCAGGCAAACTGGACCAGAGAGATGGCAGAGCGGGGAAGGGCGAAAGGCCCATCATGCCTGATGACCCGAGTCTAATCTTTGGGACCCACACGATGGCAGCAAGAGAACCAACCCCTACAAATTATGCTGTGACTCTACATGTGCATGCTTTCTCTCTCTCTGTCTCTCACATTCACATAAATAAAATTATAATAAAAGAAGCATGCAAATTAATTAAAATTATTACATCAATTTTCAGTGGGAATCTAATTTTTTTTAGAATCTAAAAGTTTTTGAAAGAACTTAACACTTTGTATTTTTATTGCTAGTTTCAACAAATTGGTCTCAAATTTTAAGAAAACAATGCCTTACAAAAATTACAAGTATTCACGACACCTCACTAATGCAGAATGACTGCATTCAAATCTCCATGACAACACTCGGAAGTGGCATCCTGTCGCAGAGCACAGTGACAATTACCTGATGTTTCACGGGGAATGTGTATTTTACCCATGTGGCTTGCTGCATTGTTTCCTCCTCCTCTTGTTTTTTCTCCTTTTTTTTAACTTTCTCCTTTTCTTCCCTTTCAATTGATGTCATCCTGTGTAACCTGAGAATACATGAATTTTAAAAAACCTATTTAATTAAAAAAACTGTATTTAATTTTGAAAAATAAACAAAAAAAGATACGAAAGTAAAACTGAAAATTAGGACGAAACCCAGAGTGCTTAGTTACAACCCTACATCCCAGACACACTCCAATAGACAGGAGTAGGCAGATGAGCATTCCCTAGGAGAGATGAGAGCAGAAAATGAGCAGTGAAGAGGAACAGCCTTGCCAGACACCCGCCAAAAGAAACATTAGCGCTTTGTTCTTGTAGTGACCCATGCACAAGCCAACACTTAAGGATGTCCACTGCAGCCATGACAAACAGAACTGAACCCACACAAGCCACGTAGACTATGGCTTTTAATTTGCAAAACCAGATACTCAGAGACCTTTCATGCCAGATTAAAGCACGGGTCTTGCATATGCTGGGCAAGCACTAAGCTTTTTCACATCACAACACCTTTTCATTTTTTAACTTTTGGCTTTTCAAGACAGGGTTTCTTTGTGTAGCCTTGGCTGACCTGGACTTGCTTTGTAGACTAGGCTGGCCTCAAACTCACAAGAGATCTGTCTGCCTCTGCCTCCTCACATGCTTGGGATTACAGTTGTTCACCACCAAGCCCGGCACAATACAATTTGTTAAATTAATAAAATTCAGGTGTGGTAGCAAAAGCCCCTCATCTTAGCACATGAGAGGCTTGATGCTTGAGTTTGAGGGCACAGCAAGCTATGTCATGACCATCTGCTTCCCACTGTACTGAGGAGGCTCTGTGCCCTGCTTTCACGCAGCTTCAGCACACAGCTTCAGCCTCTGCTCACTCGGATGACAACTGTGGGAGGTGTGAAGAGAAATACCTGGTCCCTGTCTCAGAACTAGGGAGTCAAGCAATTGACACAGCAACACACCTAACAGCCTCAGGCACAGGAGTTGGGTGTGGCTGTGCCACCACCAGCTGCTTCCATGGCTTCTGTCCTCCTGGGACCAGCTCCAGCTCAGAGGCTGAGCCATCACTGCTGCTGGAGCAGACTGCTCTGCTGACAATGAGCAGGAGAGCATCTGGGCCAGATGCCCAGCTTGGGCTCTTGGTTTCTGACTACAGGGAAACAGACCCTTTCTCACATTAGCTACGCTTTGCTTTCGTATAGTTCACTTGTAACGTGTGCTGAGTAAAATGCTATTGCTCTGGCTGCCACCAACAAAGTCTTCATGGGGAGAGGCAGCAAGACAAAGAAATCTGTAGTTTAGCTATGTCTGTAGGGTAAAACGTCCTGGACACTACTGACGACTGGAGGCTCAAGACAGCCATGTCAGGACAGGACCACGCAGACCCAGTTCTCATTAACAACACTCTGGGGGTGCAGAGGCGACACATTTTCCTTCCATTCTCCATACTCATCCGAGCCCCAGACCAGGAGCATGAACTGTCAGCTCTACACCTAAGGTCCAGGCAGTGCCCTGAGTGCATTGTTATTGTAGAGATACAACATACAACATTGTTTGTCTTTAATCCTGAACATGGGGGTAGCCCTCTATGGCCCTCTCAGTGACAGGATAGCAGAGACCAGAAGTCCCTGTGCTTGAAATGCTGATAGAACGAATCAAGGTGCATCTGGGCCTGCCATAAACCACAAACCCAATCTACTGCCTCATACCATTTTTTGAGGTTGAGTATCACACTTCAAAATTGCTGGGCATACTGGGAGGGAAACTGATCTCCAACGAGAGAAGTCACCATTCTGTCCCCAGCCTTTCACATCCATTTCCTGTACAATGCGTGTCCAGGTCCTTTGTCCTCTCACTGGACTATTAGCCTTTTTCCTTTACAAAAGGTCTCTGCCAACCCATGGAAATGTCCATTTATGGTACAATTATTTTCCCTCAGTTTGTTATCTCTCTTTTGCATTTGATAACAATAATGGTTTTCCACTCAAGAATTTTAAATACATGTGTCCAGTTTTCTCCTCTATGGCACCTGGATTCTATATTTGTTTAAAAAGAAAAGCATCAGAACAAAAATATAATTTATTTCATGCTTTGTCTTTCTTCTATTAGCACTGAAGGTCTGTTTGGTTTTGTTCTGTTTTTTAATCTTGATCAATGAGGCCTCTTCCCTGAAACATGTCCCCTTTGCTTAATGATGCAATGTTGCACTGCTGAGCTTCTGTGGGTTTTAGGGATGATTTAAGGACTCCCTGAGAGCTCTGTTCTGCTTCTTCTGGACAGAAGGTATTTTGACAGACCAAGTTTCTGTATATGTAGCTCATGCTGGCTTCAAATTTAATTATCCATTCTCTACTACATAAAGGTTAAATTAAAGATGTGTGCACCTCAATTTAATATCTGTTCTTTAAATGAACATTTATTTATTCATTATTTAATGTGTAGGTGTAAGAGCCTGCATGAGTTTATGTGTACCTCATGTTTGTAGGGACCCATGGAGGCCAGAAAAAGGCACCAGACTGTGACTGGAGTTATGGCTAGTTGTTAGTCACTACCTGAGTGCTAGAAACTGAACTCAGGTCTTGTGAAAGAGCAGACAGTGCTCTTAACCACCGAGGCGGCATCTTAAACCCTTGTTTTGTTGTTGTCTATTTCCTGAGACAGGATCTCACGAATCCTTCCATGACCTTAAGCTTTGAATTCCTGATCCACCTGCCTCTGTGTCCCAAGTCCTGGCTTGTTACTGAGATAGGATCTCACCAAGCTCAGGTCCTCAGAGTTGGCAGCAGGAGCTTCTACTAGACACAAGATTTTAACAAAATCCTTACTTGTGTGTGCGTACATGTTTTGTGTGTGTTTGGACTGTGAATGCCTATGTGTGTAGGCCAGAAGGGTGAGCTCGTAGACCTCATCAAGAAAGACTTTCTCTATGCGATCACAGCTGATCGCATAGAGAAAGCAAGTGTCTGTGGATTTCTTAGTCACAAATGGAACATCTGTATCACTTCCCTTCCCCTCATCTCGAAGGAGGAGTAGAAGGTTGAGGAGGACCACACCCTTCTGGACACAGCAGGACCACTGCACTTACAAAATTACAGCAGCTGAGGAAAACTGAATGACATCAACCAGACAACATTTCAGCATTTCAAGACCTTCTGGCCTTGTCTTTTCCCTGCAGTCCAGATAGGATATTACTAATTTGCCTTCACTGGCCTAAATCTTGCTATTATAGACCAGGATAACCTCAAATTCACAGAACTCTTCCTGCCTCCACCCCTCAAGTATCGAGATTAAAGGTGAGCATCATTACACCCAGCTTACCTTGTTCTTCTCAGTTTTTCTTCCCTGTCTCCTGACCTCAAGCCCTCCCTCCCCCCCCCCCCCCCGACAAAGTTTCCCTGTGTAGCCTTGGCTGGTCTGGAACTTGCTCTGTAGACCAGGCTGGCCTCAAACTCATAGAGATTCTCCTGCTTCTACCTCCTGAGTGCTGGGATTAAAGGCGTGCACTACCATTGCCTGGCCTAATTTATAGTTTTATTACTGTTTTTTGCTACATAAAACTTTCAATTATCTTACCAAATTCTACCCTCCAAAAATCCAACTACACATGAGTGGAATTTTATAGTAAGAGGAGAAAGACTGACATCACTAAGAAACTTATTCTTTTTGTGTTTTGCTTTTAATTGCTTAGTTTGGGGACAGTATTGTTCTGTAGCCAAGGCCCACTTATTCTGTCAGGAACTATTATCAGTCCAGGCCTCAAACTCAAGGTGATCCTGCTGTCCCAGCCTCCCAAGTGCTACCATTATAGATGTGAGCCACCATACTTGGCTTTAAAACATTCTATAAAATAAAATATGTTTAAAGAAATGGAAAATAAATGCCTATTTCAAAAGTTAGAGGGTTATCCATTCCAGCAATCCCAGTAGGAAGGCAGATAAATTAAACTGACTCTTACTTTGTGCTTTAAATGTTAGTAAGTAAATATATAAACACCAATCCCTTTTGGTGGTTTATCTTTTGGTTGAGACAAGGTCCTGTGATCCTCTTACCTCAGCTTCAGTGATGGAAGTAAAGAACGGGGTAACGAAACTGGACAGAAGTTACGCGAAGACATAAATAGCATGTTTATTTGTTCAGCTTGCAGTTCCGGGAATGAAATCCAAAGTCTTGTGCAGATCTGGTGAATGTTTGGTCACTGAGCTATAGCCCACTCTTTGTAATAATTTTTAAAAATAATTTTATTTTTATTTATTTTCTAAGATTTGTCTGGGTACACAAGTATGCTTGCACATGTGCATGCATCTGGAGCCCAGAGGTGGACACAAGCTATCTTACACATTTTTATTATTACATTATTATTATTTTTTTAAAGGCAGGGCCTCTCAATGAACCTTGAGCTCACTTTCTCAGAAAGCCATCACGATAGGTCTATTTCCCAAGTATCTGATCCCTGGCAATGAGCTTACAGGCAATGGGCTTACCCTCAACTGGGTATGTGTGTGGTGGGAACTGAACTCTGCTCCTCTGAAAGGACAGCAAATGCTCTTGTACGTGCTTCTATCCTGCTGTTCAAGTACACAGCTCTGAGTCTACTTGGTAGTCATTGACCTTTGGCCAGACATTCAAGGCTACAAAGAAAATGAGCCTGATCCTCAGCATAGTGTCAGAAACATTCTAGAATAAGTGCTTTAAAAATGTGGTTTCTTGAGCTCAACGATGAAGAACAGTGGTTGCTCTTAACCTGGTTTGGGTCCTAGAGCCTATAATGAACAACTGTCTAAAAGTCCAGCTCCGGGGGTTCTAATACCCTCTTATGGTCTCTGCAGAGACCAGGAATAACCATGATGAACAAACATACATGTAGGCAAAACACACACACACACACACGATACTTTTCACTTGTAATGTCTTTAAATATGTATGGAAACTGGCAAGATGGCTCAGGGAATAAGGACACCTGTTAAGAATAAACTTCTCAGGCCGGGTGGTCGTGTCCACCATTAATCCCAGCATTTGGGAGACAGAGGCAGGAGGATCTCTGGGAGTTTGAGGCCAGCCTGGTCTACAGAGTAACTTTCAGGGAAGCCACGGCTACAAGAAAGAAACACTGTCTCAAAAAGCCATAATAACAATAATATAAAAAGAATAAACTTCTCTCCATCTATTCCCACCCGTATCATGCACAAGTACACACACACACAAAATTTTAAAATAATAAAAATATATTTGATCTCTTTTCATCTTCATTACAGTCTTGCATCCTAAAAATTAATGGACATCAGGAAAAGACAGTCTTTACTGTGATCTCTTGGGCTTTTCCATGATTACATCAGAAGTATCCAATACTCACCATTCCCAAGGCTCAGAAGTCACTCACCTGGTATGTCCTAAAGACTCCCGCCATATTGGCAGCATTACAACCGGCTTCACTGCACACTCCAAAATTGCAAGTGCCAGTGCAAACTCCCTGGGTTTACTGCACATCTGGACAGCCTTGATCCAATTGGCCCTGCATTTCAGAAGGAAGAAATCACCTCACTCAGTTGTTAGTAACTGAAAACACAACAGCCACAGCCTACCACGACTCAGGTTTACAGCTCAAATTAGAAGGTGTTCTACATGGCAGGAGTAAACACAGAAGAACAGCGAGGATGACTAGCTCAAAGAAATGGAGACTTTATACCCTGGGAGCAACTCAAGGCATCCTCCCAATTCCTCAACCTACAGTATCTTTTAACTTCGGTCTCCACTTACTCCAGGGATAAAATTCTGATACCCAAAGTTTTCCAAAGATGAGTGCTGCTTTGGTACCTCTGAATTACACACATATCTTCAGCTTCTGGCCCACTGTGACTTCACTGAACTCATTGGTGATAATATTTTAAGGGGCACACCTACTAAGGATCAATTTATGGATAGTTAGCATATTTACAGCAACACATTTACTGCAGTTTCCGTTACCTGTGAGAAGCCCAATTGGGGTGAAGAAAGGAAGAAGGGATGTTGCTTTCTAGCTGTGTGATGGTGAGCCTCAGCGTAGATATGGTCAGGACTTTGGAGCCGTGGACAGATCCATTCCACTTGAACTCCCCGGCTGGAGTGAGACAGAACTTATGTGCAAGGTGCCTCCTCTTATCATGATCTTCCCTGTGCTGGTGCTTGTTCAGAGCAAATGAGTTGGTCGAATACTGATTGTGGTAGACGCGATACTTCCCCTCTTGTCCCAGCTTAAAATAATTGCTGATGTTCCCTTTCATGACCACTTCCTTTTTGGCACTCAGCCGAGACACTTCTCCCTGGGAGTTAACTACCAGCACCTAATGAAAAAGTAAACACATCACTGTTTGTGGCCAAGATGCAAATTTTGTCTGACAACTGTCTTTCAGTAACTGTAATTGATCATTTCAAACAGGCAACACCTTATGAATAAGCGACTAAAGTTTAAAAGTTAAATTTGGAGGTGGGGGGAGATTTAAAAAAAGAAAAAGAAGCAAAATTTAAAGTGAGGGCTGGGTGTCTCATACTTTCGTCCTAATACTCAGGAGACTGACATGAGAAGACCATGAACTCATACCTAGCCATATAGCAAACTGACTCAGGGCAGGGGACACAGGGGCTGTGGATCAGAAACGGCTCAGTGAGTAAATGCACTTGCCACATAAGTCTGGTGACCCAACTTTAATCTCAATAACACATAAAGGTGGAAAGAGAATTAACTCCAAAGTTGTCTTTTCACAGCCCCTCATAAATCTGGGTGACTGTGTGCACACCTACACACTAATAAAATATAAGTTAAAAAAACAAAAGTAAAGCCAGGAGGTGGTGGCAAATGCCTTTAATCCCAGCACTTAGGAGACAGAGGCAAGGAGATCTCTGAGTTCAAAGCCAGACAAAGCTACACAGAAAAACCCCATTTTGAAGGGGGAAAAAAAAAAAAAGAACCCCCCAAAATAAATAAATTGAAAAGTGAAAGCTAGTCATTTACAATTAAATAAGGAAAATACACTGCAGAAGAAAATGAGGTTAGACACCACTGTGCACTTCATGGGTCTCAGCTACATGAGCCTATTTATAACCCTATGAAGATTCTAACACACAGCTTAACGAACTAGGAGAGCATTACATACACCAAGCCCTAAAAACAAATGACTGAAAACCCTCAACTGTTGCTGTTTCCATTTCCAGTTTTGCCATAGGCCCTGGGGTCTTTCAAAGGTTTCCAAAAACTTGGGCTCAATCTTCCAGTGGAGCACAAGAACAATACTTGTGATGGGAAGGGTGTCAGGTTTAGACAGGGTCTTGGTACACAGCTCAACTGGCCTGCTTCTTAACAGTAGCTAGCCCAGGCTTGCCTCAAACTGGGCTTCGGGCTCCTTTAACAGTTCACTACCCTGTGAACAACCCATCTGAGAGACACTGCCGTCACCACTCTGCCCACAGCTGGCTGAAGAGAGACATTCAGTGTCAGTTTTGATCATGCTGATCAGCCAGGATTGCTTGCAAACAGTTCAGTCTGCTCTCCCAAGGGCTCACTGGATTTCTAATAAATAGACTAAATTTGGGTATATAAATGTATTTACCATAATATGAGCCTAACGGTTTTGTTCTTGGTACTCAACCACAAGAGAAAAAAAAAATACAATTCAAAACTAGGTCTATAAACTTCCTAAAGGAAATTTTAAAGATTTTTTTAAACCTATTTTAAAGATTTTAAGGTGCAATCCAATTCTAAATATTTATTTAATGTGTGTCAACCTGTGGGTATTGGCACATGAGCGCACGTGCCCTTGGGGGCCACAGGTATCAGATCGATTGGAGCTGGAGTTACTGACAGTTGGGAACGGCAGCCAGTGATTTTAACCTCTGGGCCATTTCCTGGTCCACAATTCTAACTATTCACAGTGCACAGAATTTTGTTTTAAATAGAACAAACCTCTTTGCCCTCCTTAAACAACTTGTTTGCTTCGTGGGCTGCAGCTGCCACCTGCTGGCTCTTCAGCTGACTGAGTTTGCTATCTGGGTTCCGCAATCTAGTGATGATCCGAGTGGAGCCAGATGTTCCTTTCCCAGCTCCAGGGGACTCGGCGATTTCTCCATTAGACTTCTCCAATCTGAAATCACCTATTATCAAATAAAAACGCCACGAAGTGATGCTGACAGGAAAAATAATTAAGAATGCCTTATTATCCAACACCCACATGACACATATATTTAGAGTCCAAGAGAAGTAAGCAGATGAAGTCTTTTCACAGGCAAAGCAAATTTATCAATTCTTGAATATTCTCTTCCACAACAAACATCAAAAGCAAAATACCATGATACATTTATTATTTTACAGAAAACAGTAGTACCTGTTTTGAAACTGAAGAGGCCCCCCCCAAAACTTGCAAATAACAAACCTAACAACTCAAACGCATAAAAAAATGTTGCCTTCTATATCTGATATAGATTTGTATATTTAAAGGATAAAGTTAATTTTAGAAAGATTGCCCACTGAAGTTCAATTAAGAAACAATAATCTTAAATATTAAAGATAAGTGACAAATGAATTTTTCTATATAAGTTACACAATTATCTGTGAAAACTCGTAACAATTATTTTTTAACATAATACGGATCTCTCAACATCTGCTTTATGACTTCATTTTTGATAGTGATAGCTTAAATGCCCAGAAGCAATTTCTGCTTTCTATATGCACAAATTTCACATTGGATAATGGACATACATACCCCAGCCATTCATCACCATGCATTTTCCAATGGCCAGAAAATTGAACAAGATCTGATTTTTAATTCAAAGCTTAAAAAAAGAAGCAGTGTAGCCCTGGTAAATCCACTGATGGAAATTTACCATACTATCTACAGATATGTTATTCTCCGGCAAGTGGAGACAAATGCACAGAGGGAAACTTTGTTTCAGAGGGAGGACTGTTGAACAGTAGTTAGCTCACTGTGTCTCCTCCTTGTCCTTCCCTCTGAGGGGATATGAAGTTGCCTTTGGAAGAAACTACAGCACCCAGACAGAACACAGCACCACCCCACTAGGTAACCCTCCCAGCCCAGCATCAGCCTAGTCCATGTCTGAGGTTTTTTTCTGTTGTCGCTATTGTCGTTGTCTTTAAATATTTATTTATTTATTTAATGTGTATGGGTATTTTGCCTACATGCAGAGATATGTGCTCCACATGCATGCCTTGTGGGATGGATCCCCTGAAACTGGATTTACAGACAGTTGTGAGCTGCCATGTGGGTGCTGAGAATTGAACCTGGGTCCTCTAGAGGAGCAGCCAATGCTCTTAACAGCTCTAGCCCCCATGTTTTGGTTTCCAAATTTGGATTCTCCTTTCATTTCCTCTCCCTTTCCTTTCATGGGACTGAACTGAGAGCCTTGCACGTGATGAGCAAGCGCTCTAGCTCTGGGCTGAATCCCCACCTTAGGCATCTGCTTTTCTGTTAGTGAGCAGGAAGGGTGAGACTAGAGGCTGGTAACCTGCACCACTACAGCAGAAAGACTACAGCTTGTGGGGAGTAAGAATCCCCAATACCCTGGAGCAGACCTAAGAAGGGAAAATTCTGAGGAAGATGCTGATAACCTTGCTTAGCTTCCTGTACCAGAGGGGTCACCTGAGGCTGTCACCAGTCCTTGGAGGATCCTGCAAACTCCACTAACAAATTTTCATTTATGTTTTAAACAAGGCAGATTTCTGTTGACAGCAATAAATACTAATTAATCCAGAAAGTATTTTAAGTCCTTGTCTACAAAACATGCCACTGGTTAAATCAGGCTAGAGCAGGGACTGAGTATCTTGCCATGCCACGCTGTAATCCTGGGTACTGCTATCCTCTCATGGACTCTATGTGTGCTGGAGCTGAACTCTCGGGACCACTCATAACATCCTGTAATAGACTTTATGGATGCAGTCTGGGCTTAGGCTACACTCCCTCAGCGTACAGCCACAATTCACAGCTGCTCAGAATTAACCCTCTGCATCTGCTGGCTTAGTAAAATTAAAAGCAAGGAGCAGCTTCACCTGCAAGGGTCAGAGCTGAAGACCCAGGGAAAGGAGAGGCCCTCACAGAAGACACTCTACCCAAGGGCCACACTGCTGCCATTGAGAAGTCAATCTTTGAAGTTAGCCTGGTGGCAATCAGGGAGTGGTTCTATGCCAGCCTCTTAGGCAAGCATAGGCCAGCATAGGCCCACCAACCAAAGTGAGGAAGTAGAAGGGCTGCTCATGTCCATGGAGCCTGAGGCCTGTTACTAAGCATTAGGTACTAGTGGCAATTCCCACAAACCTATAAGGGAATGTTACAATGATGGGAAGGCGAGGCAGGGAACCCTGCAAATCTGCCAAACTGGTATGTATGATTGTTCATCCAACAGCAATTCCCAACAACCCATAACGTGTAATAGCCAGCAGAAATTAGGCTACCAAACAGAAAAACATTTCTCACATGCCTCTCACTTCTTATCCACTGAATTACCCCAGGTTTACCAAAGTAGAGCCTCTGCTATCAGGACAGTAATGCTAAAAACAGCTACACTCAGAACTTCATATGGGTTATATATAAGCTTACACGATAAGCTATAGCCAAATCTGTCATACTTAATACACAGCACATAGAAATCTTAGATATAATTACAGTTGTTGGATGCACTTGTGAGCCAAGGGGAAGTTGTCAGGTGAGGGTGAGATCTGTGCTCCACATTAGACAGGGGCATTGTGAACTGGATGTATGGGAACAGACAGGAGTGTGTCTCATGCTGTGCTGAGCTACTGAGGATGGAACTGCAGTTATTGTGGGCCCTTTCTTTGAAGCAGCCCTTGCTCTTCGCAAAATCATTCCTACCCCATTTCAATCATATACTTTTGCTGGAGCCATCAATAATACCTTGCCTGCCCTGGCCACAGGTGTGGAACAATATGATCCAAGATAAGCCACTCAAATTCCTTCCTCAAAGACTTTTGATTTGGAGCAGGAGTAGGGCCTTTGCCTTTGGGCCACAGACCTTGGAAAGACATGAAAACAAATTGCTGGTGCCATCTTACCTGCAACTTGGAAAAGCCTGTCTGTATAAGGAAAGAATGAAATTGTCACACAAATATAAGTCAGTTCAAAAGGGGTGGTGGGAAGAGAGGGATGGAGAGAGAGCGTGTGTGAGTGGGGAGAAGGGTGAAGACAGAAGCAGCTGTTTCACTGCTGAGTCCATGAACTCCCCAACTGCATAAGTTAATTAAATCCCCTCTACATTTAAACTATTTTAAGATGGTCTGGTCACTTACAACTGAAGAGTCAACCATATGTCACATATGAAATTCTCCTCAAGATAAACTTAAAACAATGCTACAGACTTGTTATGAGAAAACTATTTACTATATTAATATTTGTGAGATTGTATTCCTATTTAATAGTATACCACATTCAGAGAAACCCTGAAGAAAAAGATGAATAAATTTAACAGCATAAAAATGTAAAAATTTCAGACAGTAGAGAATTAAAGACAAGAAACTAATACATGAGCACATATGTCAAGCAGATATTAACAAACATAATACATAAGGCAATCCTAAATATTAAAATTCTATAGGAAAAATTGAGCAGAAACAAGAATCATCAAAATACAGAATATTAAACACATGAAAAGAAACAACCAGATTCATAAGCAGGAGTATGCAAAGTTTCCATGAAATACATTCTTACCACTGGCAAAAAAAGACACATGGTGTTAAATTTAAGTGTATGAATTGGGAAACAGACACGTATGGAAATTAGCCCCCCTGAGTGAGTAATTAGGCAGTATCCACCATTATCTGGAAAACGTACCTACCATTTGACCAGCCAGTCCTTTCATACACTGCCAGAGACACTTGCAGAATACAGATATGTGTGGAGGCTGGTAGACAGCACCACCAAGATAATAGCCAGATACCATGCAGCAGCTAAAAACATTGCATTAAACTCTAACATGAACAGTCCCTACCACTGAGTGGAAAAACAAAAAGAAAAAATACAAAACAAGATGGAGAATAACACATGCAGAATGATCCCATTAATATTCAAAACAAACCAAAAAAGCCAAAAAAATTGTAAACATACAGATATGAACATAATGGAAAATACAAAATACTGATGGTGGTTATACTTCAGGAGAATAAAAAGGTTTCTATTTTTCTCCTCTTACCGAATTCTTTTTATTTATTGTAAAGTAAGAACAGTGAGCTCATGTTAATTAAAAAACAAAAACAAAAAATAAAAATCACTAATTCTTCCCAACCCACTAAACTTTTACTTAAAAAAATTAAAAATGTTCAAAGGAAAAAGAGAAAAAGAAAAATCATCTCCCTTGACTGGATGGGCGTGCTCTTACCTATCTCTTCCTGAGCAGAGACAGGTGTATGGGAGTCTCTTTCTCCAATTTCAGGATCATCCGCTGCCTCAGCAGAGTCACTCTGGGCAGAACCGAGCTCACTGCTGCTGCTACTGTTTTCCAGATTAGGCTGGATGGAGGCAGTGGTAGCACTAGTGTTACTGCTGTCACATGTCTTGTTAGAGTCTTCTAGAAAAATAGAATATCTGATTTTTACATTGAAAATCACATAAAAATCTAAATGTCAGAGAAGCAGTTAACAGTTGTAGGACTTCATCAGGATGCTGAGCGTTAGAAAGCAAAGCCAATCACAGAGGAAGAATGAATGCACTGTGTGAGAAGTTGGTAAGCCGTACCCTACCAGTTACTGTAAGTGCCCATCAACGCACAGGCTCTTTATCATCATCTGGAGCAAGGCAGGCAACCTTTCAACATTCTAGAGATGGAAAAAAACTTTAAAAACTACTGCACACAACTCAGAGCACATCAGATGTGGAAGAGGCGGTTCTGTTGAGAAAAACAACCAAAACAAGTAGCTTACATCCTCACGTTTCCAGAATCTTCACAGATCTCTATCAGAAATGGAGTTAGAAAGGATTCTTTACCTCTGGGGTCTTCTATCTATGTGTGCTCACCTTTCTGGGTAATTTCAGAGCATCACTAGCAGTTTAGTTCCTCAGCAGTAAAGAAATTAGTACTAGGAAAAAGAGAAAGCTGTGGGAGTTCAGAAAGTGTCTATTTGTATTCCTCTTTGTCACTGAAAAGGTACTAAATCATGACTGGTGCCATGTCACAGCAGCTATAGTAAATACATGAAGAATGGGGAAACAATGTCTGCATGAAATGTTTTAGATCTCTGACTGCACCCGATACGATGATTACCACAGCATAAAGAATATAGAAGACTCTAGGAATAACCACAAAAAGAATGAAAGTTGCCTCTAAACATATGGAAATCTGACCGCTTACTTTAAGCCAAGAGAAATGCAAACTAAAGCTATATAGAGGGTGAGCACTCTGGCTTACACCTGTGATCCCAGTAAGTTCTCTGACTCCACAAGTCCTACTAAGTTGTGCTCTGAGCTCTACTAACACGCCATGGCACACCCTCCTCCCGGTAAATAAATGAGTGAGTTAAGTAAGTACGCTTTCATGTTACAACTTTTCTACTACGGAGGCAGGTTCAGGGCACACTCCGTTCTTCCACAGGACCTGAGCTCAGTTCCTAGCACCCACATCAGGTGGCTCAAAACTACCTGTGGCTCTGGCTCCAGAGATCTGATGCCCTCTTCTGGTCTCTATGAACACTTGCACTCTCATCAACACACTCTCACACACACACACACACACACACACACACACACACACACACATCTTTGAAAAAACTTCTCTACTATAGAAGATAAATGCCAACCAAAAGAAGGTGGCAAAGCTTGGAAATATTAAATAAATGAACATTTCAAAATGATTAAAATATTAATTCAAAAAATATATTAAAAACTTGAAAGCAGTTAGTGAAAATGAACTAAAAAGTAGAGAGGCTGCAGGTAGCTGAGTGGTGAGCACCTGCTTACGCGATAAGCTACTGGCTTCAATCCCCAGCACCACAAAACAGACAAAGAAGGAAGAAAAGCATCTTCTTAGTAAATAATTGCAAATATTTTTAAGCATCTTGCAAAGAAGGGAAAGAAGAGACTTAGAACAATACAACTTAAAAACCTGACTTAACTGTCTGACGCCGCACCCAACAATGAATCTGCATACGTATGCATGCACATCTTTATGCTCACCAAGCATGTATGAGACATATCAACATCAAGCTGATGCTGGGGATGTAACTCAGTGGTAGAGCGCTTCCCTCTTGACCATGGGCCCTGGGACCCACATCTAGCACCACCCACAACTAACTAATCACAGAGGTAAAATGACAGGAAAAACAAACTATAAGCTTCAACTAAAGGAGAGCGGAGGGAAACTCTGCACTGACAGCAAGCACAGAAGAAAGCCTACACAAGAGGTCTTCAGGAGCTGAGCCACAGGGCCAAAAAAAAGCAAAGGAAATAAAAAGGAGGAAAGAAGAAAGATCAGAAGTAAATAAGCCAGAGAAAAGCAAGCAAGAGCTGGGTGTAGAGACCAGAGAATAAAGTCATGGAGTCAGTTCTCAAACTTGACGTGAGTTCTAGAAACTGAACCCCATACACTCAGCCTTGCCCAGTGAGAGCCACTGAGCCATCTTACCAGCCCCAGCACGATATCCAGGACAAGTTTCTCAGTGGCCTGGGACTCAGTAAGTAGGCTGGCTGTCTGACTAGCCTTCTGGCAAGATTGTTAGCCATCACACCTGACTTATGCAGATTCTGGGGGCAAAACTCAGAATCAATGAGTGAACTATTTCCCCAGCTCAGGACTACTGTTAGTGTTTAAACTGTATTTATTATTAGTGTGTGTGGTGGGTGCGGGCATGTATGTGCCACAGTACACAGGTGGAGCTCAGATGACAACTTCAGGAGTTGGTGACTGCTTTCTACCATGGGTTCCCAGGCTGAGGCTTGTACGGCAAGTGCTTTTACACACTGAGCCATCTCGCCAGCCACCTAGATTATTATTTTTTTAAACGTTTTTTTAAAGATTTATTATGTATAAAATAATCTGTCTGCATGTATACCTGCACACCAGAAGAGGGCACCAGATCTCTTTATAAATGGTTGTGAGCCACCATGTGGTCGCTGGGAATTGAACTCAGGACCTTTGGAAGAGCAGCCAGTGCTCTTAACCTGAGCCATCTCGCCAGCCCCCACCAAGATTATTTTTATAAAGATAAAATAATCTCGTCACTAGACACTGATAAGGATATAAGAGGAAAATATAAGTTAATCTCACTTATGAAAGTAGATGGAAAATCCCATCCAAAATATTAAGAAATTAGATGCAGTAATATATTAGAAAAATAATCATAACCAAACTGTATTTAATCAAGGACTGGGAGATGAAACATTCAAAAAACAACACAGGCATTTGCTATAGTTAAGATACCCTTAAGGGAAAAAAGACTTACTCCCAACAAAACATTCAAAAACAGAAAGTGTACAAAGGAAAAGGACAGGCACTTCATAAAAGAGGAAAATCAAATGAACTGTATACACACAGATACAGACAGACAGAAAGACAGACACACCACAGATGTTCCATGTCCTCAAATCACCTGGTAACTATAGGTACAAACCACCACAATCCCCCCTCCCCACGACTATCTGAAGGATCCCTATACTTTTGTTCGAAAAGGAAAGGCCATTTGACAGTGTTGATGCCACTTGCTGGCAATGGTGTGCTGTGGTCAGAGCTCTCACCCTGTGAGGGAAGCTTGCACAAGCCCCTTCTCTCTGGAGAACCTCAGAGTCTTTTTACAGAGACTTAAAGACCAGGAAATCCATGATTACATTTCTACCTCTAAGAATACATGTGCATATGTAAAAATATACATAAAGGAATAATCATAAGAGTATTATTCATTATGGCCCCCACCGTGAGAACTATTTAAATAACTACCACTGGAAGCTGGAGAGACGGCACAGCAGAGGACCCAGGTTTGGTTCTTAGCACCTACATGATGGCTGACAACAGACTGTAACCCCAACTCCATGAGATTGAATACCTTCTTCTGGCCTCTGGCACACACACGGTACACATACATACTTGGAGGCACTTGGAGATACACATAAAAGCACAAAAAAGGTCAGGTGATCATCAACATATAAAAAGGATAAACCAATTGTGCTACATCTCTACAATGGACTGAGAGCAAAGGATGATGCTCTATACAACACTGGTATTTTTGTTCTTAGTGGCATTTTATTAAGGTTAAAAGAATTTAACATGGTGACCCATGCCTTTAAATCTAGCTCTTGGGAAGCAGAGGTAGACAGTTCATGACCAGCCTGCTACACATGGCAAGTTCCAGGCCAGCAAAGGCTATATAGAAAGATCCTGTCTCAAAGAAACAGACAGACATTAAAAATTATATACTGTATTATAATTCACCCCCCCCTTCTCTCTTTAAAATCAAAATCAGAGGCTGGAAAGGTGGCTCAGCAGTGAAGAGCATTTGCTCCTCCTGCAAAGGAGTACAGTCTGAGTCCCATACCCACAAGGTGGTTCACAAGCAACTGAAACTCCAGTTCCAGGGGTCTGATGTCCTCTTCTGACCTCCTCAGGCACCAGGCATGCTCATGATACATACATAAACATGCAAGCAAAACACTCATATGAAAGAAAACCTAAAACTTAGAAAAGTAAACAGAACAGTCGGTCTCTGGTGGGCAGCTGCACAGGCTGGTCTCCTGGGTCGTTCACTTGGTAAGCATCCATCACACTATCTCAGTAACAACCAGTCCAGAATATCTCCCCACCCAGTCCAACAGTATTATTCTATAAAAGACTTTACTTAATAAATATTGTCTATTGTGGTTTGAATATGTTTAGCCCTCATAGACTCATGTGTTTGAAGGCTTGGCCCATGGGGACTGGCACTATTAGAAGGTGTGGCCTCGTTGGAGCAAGTGAGTCACTGTGGACATGAGCTCTGAGGTCTCCTCGCACTCAAGCTCCAGCCGGTGTGGAACAGTGTCTCCTTCTGGCTGCCTTCAGATCAAGATGTAAAACTCTTAGCTCTTTCCCAGCACCATGTCTGCCTGCAGGCTGCCATACTCCCTACCATGATGATAATGGACTGAACCTCTGAAACTTTAAGCCAGCCCCAATTAAATGTTTATCTTTATAATAGTTGCCTTGGTCATGGTGTCTCTTCACAGCAATAAAACCCCAACTAAGACATCATAGTCTCTAAGTTAAAAAAACAAAACAAACAAGTGAGCTCTTCCATACCATGGATGCTATTTTTAACCGCCTAGAGTTAACTCTCCAAATCTCAACAACCATCTCATCCACTGACCTAAGGGGGAGCTATTCAACAGTGAGAACAGAGACTGGTTCAGGGGCATCACAAAGCACACAGCACCCTCCCAAGTCACAGAACAATTACAATTAGTTCTTGGATAAGTAAGAACACAGAGAAGCAGAGCCACGGGAGACAGCAGAGCATCCTCCCTGAGGGAGAGGACAGTACTCTCATGTCTCTCTGCTGCGCGCCAGAGCGCAGTCAGCAAGGACTCACATTCTACTTTGGTCGTGGATATATTCCCACCAGCCTACCGAGTCTGACACTTATTACTATATTAACTACTTGATAAAAACACAAATGCAGGCTGGCAAGATGGCTTAGGAGGTAAAGGTGCTTGCTGCGAAGCCTGACAAACTGTGCTCCCTCACCAAGGAGGAGAAAACTGACTCCAGCACGTTGTCCTTGGATCTCTACATGTGCTGTTACATGGGCATATGCACGCATGTGTGTGTGTTTACCCACTCAAAATAAACACATGTAAAAAAACAGCATACAAGGGCTAGGACCTAAGGACCTAACAGGTCAAACTCAATCAGGTTTGGTTTAGAAACAGGTCAGTTATGTCATACCTGAAGCCAATAGTACATCTAAGATTAACATTAAGTATTGATCAACCTAAAAGGGTAAAAATTATATTTAAAAAATAACAAACATGGAAGGCTCTTTTTCCACATTATTTCAGCAACAGTACTCCACCTTCAACTTCTAGCCCAAATACATGAAAATGAGAATAAAACTGACCAAAACCTAAAAGTACTCAGTCAGTTGTAGAACCAAATTATAGACCTGTGTCTCCGCAGCCCCTGGAGAAAATTCCCTGAGAAATACCACTGCCTAGCTGACAGCTCTACTTGCTAAACAATTCTAAGAACGTTGTTAACACTCAGTCAGGATACTCCACTATAGTTCCTACGACAGTGATTTAACGTCTAAGTCTACTCTTTGTTGTCCGCAGTTCAGTACCCCAAATACTTGAGAAATACTAAATTTCCAACCACCAAACCTAGAGTTCTCTAGGCTAAATGAGTCTTTTTTCCTTTTTGTGTTGACACAGGGTCTCCCTGTGCAACCCTGCGGAGCCCGGAGCTCACCATGCAAGGCCGAGTCGCTGACTGCCTTGCCGGCACTGACCCTACAGGCTGACCCACCTCACCAGCACTCCGCCTCACGGCAGCATAGTTTCCTGATTTCCTGCATCTTAATGAGTGAGCACGCTGCCCTCGGTGCCTGCTGTGTGACTGGTTCCGCTGACAGCTGGGCTCACTTGCAGCCTATATGTAACCTAAGCTTTCACTGGGGTTCTCAGCAATTCTCAGAGCTGGTTGCCGAATCCCCCCACATTCCGATCGGAAACCCGGAGGCCCATAAAAGGCTGAGTGGCGTTAATTTAGGAGCAGACCTAGAATGCACATGCTCTACACAACAGTACTCCTAACACACCAGTCACACCCCAGCATCCCTCACACACACTCAAAGCCTGAGAAGACAACATTTGTATGTTCACAGAAAGGACCTTTAAGATTTCCTCCATGACTCTGAGATTATTGATGTTTATTTTCTGATTTTAATCATCTGAATTATATATAGTCTAGTATAATAAAAATACCTTTGAATTTTTTGAAAAGTAAAAGTCATAATCACATTCTTAGTAATGATAATTTACTCCAAGTAAAATTTCAATGTTAAAAAGGTTAAAACTGGAATTATTGGTTAACATATCAATGCATCTTGCAAAAATGTTGGTGATGATGGATTATCAACTAATATTATGATCTGACATGTAGCACTACATGAGCACATGCAAACAGAAAATTAATGTGTTAGTATATAACGAGCCAGAAGGGCTACGTCACTCAACATGGAGACAGACATTATTATGTGAGTAACTCAAATCAAAGTCTCTGCCAGGACGGTCTGGTGGCCAGGCACACAAATCCATCTAAGAAATGCAAGCATGAGGACTGAGAGGGAGTTCCAGGCACTAACTGCAAGAACAACTGCCAAACATCCAATGTTAGGTGACAGTTTAGCAATCAGGAATGGCACTGTGAGCAAGCAGCATGAAGGAATGCAGACTGTCAGGTTCTAGGTGACATGCAGCTCTGACTGCACAGGGAAGGGTCCCCCCATTACAGAGGCATTGATACACTGCCCTCTGTACCTGGTACATCCGGGGGGAGCTCAGATGCCACCTTCTTCTCTGCCATGCTGCTGCTATCATGGGTGTCTGAGAGACAGCCCTCGGGGCTCCTCCCTGCACAGGGACTAGTCTCTTCTGAAGAAGCATTTGTGGTGTTGTCGCCAAGATTTGCTGGCGCAGAGTTCCCTCTATCCCCAACTTCTGCTGGCTCTACAGCAAAACGCACAACAAAACTTTAAAGATATGCTTCGAAACTGGCTTTGGACAAGTGGCCACATTCAATCAACTACTAAATATCATCAGTCACCAAAAATCCTGCTTCTCTTTGATGGCCATTTTAAAGCAAGTCAGACTCCGAGATAGCTTTGTAATGGTCATCCAAAAATAAAGAGTAAGATATTAAGAATGTTTTAGAATTAATTTTTTAAAAGAACATATTTTACCAATAATCTGGCATAAAAAATAGTAACCTTTCATCAACATCATAGGTATGCCAATTTCTTAGACATAAGTATAATATTATTGCAAATCCATCAATACAGAAAACTCATTACAACTGTGATGTTACAAGGAAGAAACTATCTTAAATATCTTTAGGAATAAAAAATAGCTGTTTGGAGTAAAATTCCATTTGCATTCTGCCAGTAATACTAGAGGTTTCACAAATAGCATTAATAGAATATTTCTTTTGAACCAAGTAATTCTTTTACCCTCAGGTTTTCCTTGCCCAGGCTCTTCATTAGAGACTCTGTCATCACTGTCCTTCTCAAGGGACTGGTCTCCTGGCTCCTCTCTGCTCCTCTCCGCATTTTTGGAGTTGTCACTCTCGACCTCACTCTTGTCTTTTTCTGTTTCTTCTGGGCTCTGATCACAGTCAACATCTTCCCCTCTTTTGATTCTTAAGGAGTCCAAAATTTCTTCTATAATAAAAAAAGCAGATTATTTTCTTTCTATAACTAAATATGAAATTACTAACAAATGGAACTTTTAATGTTCACTAGGCTTGGTGGTGCACACCTTTAATCCACGCACCCTGGGACAGCCAGAGGCAACACAGTGAAACTTTGTCTCAGAGAGAGAGACAGAGAGATTGATTTAATATCCACTATTCTTAAGTCTGAAGAAAGAAAATTATACCAGCTAGAAGGCCTGAGCTTGAACTCTCGGCTCCCACTAGAAGCTGGCTGTAGCAACTCACTTTGAGGGCATGAATGGGACCCTGCAGCCATGGGTCACCAGCCTAGCAGAGCAGCAAGTCCCATGCTCAGTGAGAGACTGCTCAAGAAATAAAGGGGCTGGAGAGACAACGTACTGGTTAAAAGCATCTGCTGCTCTTGCAGAAGACCCAAATTCAGTTCCCAGCACTCATGTCAAAAGGCTCTCAGAACTGCTGTAACTCCTGCAAGTCTTAATGGCCTATTCCGGTCTATAGGCACGCGCACATGCGTGTGAACACACACACAAAGATAATTTGTTGTTGCTTTTCAAGACAGAGTTTCTCCTTGTAGCCTTGGCTGTCCTGGACACACTTTGTAGATCAGGCTGCCTAGAAGTCACAGAGGTTCTCCTGCCTCTGCCTCCCAAGTGCTGGGATCACCGGCATGCGCCACTAGACCTGGCTGCAACTTTATCTTCTTAAAGATGAGACAGCAAAGCAAGCATGATAATGCTCACCCAGAACCCAGGCACACCCGGGCTACACAGCAATATACATGCCCAATGAAAAAAGTCTGAAAAGACTGCAAGCACATCACGGTCACATGCCCCTGTCGCGACAGACACTCGAACTGACATAGGCTCAGCCTATACAGCACAGCACAAGGATCAAAAGCAGAACTAAAACCCAGTATACCCCTGAGGGGAATCTGCTCCCTGGGCCTGAGCAAGCTCCCTAGATCTGCAGAGCTCCACCTCCTCCAGAGTGAAATGAGCAGAGAAGCCCGTATGGAAACGCTTCTCTCTGAAGCCTCGTATTCTGAAACTATTCTGAAACTATTCTGAAAACCACTGAGGGCCTAAATAAGGGCGTACCCTCTTTCAATTTGGGCAGGGTGATACCACGGTATGGTACCAGCATAGGGGAAACCAGTATGGACACATGGATACTAAAAGACTCTTTGGGTTATAATAAAACACATCCTTTGAGAGGGTTCTTATTATGAGGTCCAGGCTGGGCTGAAATTTGCACTCCCCCAGCCTCAGCATCCTGAGTAGCTGAGATATGCTATCACCCCCACAAAGTTAAGCATCTATTCATGTTATTTTGTCTGTTTGGTTATCTGCTTGAGGCAGAATGTCACAAGGCTCAGACTGGACTCAAATTCAGTGCTGTCTGAGGCTGGCTTTGAACTTTTTTTTTTTTTTTTTTTTTTTTTTTTTTTTTTTTTTTTTTTTTTTAAAGCTGACCACTAGTGGCACACGCCTTTAGGCCTGGTGCTTGGGAGGCAGAGGCAGGTGGATCTCTGTGAGTTTGAGGCGAGCCTGGTCTACATAGTGAGTTCCAGGATAGCTAGGACTATACAGAAAAATCCTATCTTGAGAAACAAAGTAAAAAAATAAAATAAATGTGTGTGTGTGTGTGTGTGTGTGTGGCCTGCATACATTCATGTGCACTACATGTGTGCTTGCTGTCTCTGGAGGTCAGAGGAGGGCAGCAGAACTGGAGTCATGAATGGCTGTAAACCACCGTGTGGGTTCTGGGTCCTTGGCAAGAATAACCTGTGCTCTGAACCGCTGAGCCATCTCTCCAGCCCCTGGCCTTCCAATGTTCTTAACCCATGCATACGCATAAGATCCCTGTATCTACCTATGTAGAGTGTGTGTCTTTGGTTCATTGCATCACTGTCGCCTGGCTTATCTGACGACTCTTCAGAGTGAGAAACTGGCTACAGAGAATCCAATGGCTGGAGAAGGACAGCCATGGTAAAGCAGCTTCGTAACTACAAAGCCAAAGCCTCCCGGGCAACAAGGCTACCACTATAGTGCAAAGTTTAAAAAGACAAAGAAACCCGGCACTCCCCTGGGGGTTCTGCAGTCCTCCTTTACGCTTCCTTCCATCACTGTTCTCCACCTTCATTTTGGTTGTATTTCTTTTCTTTTCCTTTCTTATTTATTTATTTAGTTAGTTTTTTTTTTCAAGACAGACTTCTCTATGTAACCTTGGCTGTCCTGGAGTTCACCCCGTGACCAGGACGACTTTGAACTCATAGAAGTTTGAAGCCTCTGCCCCTGAGTACTGGGATTATAGGTGTGCTGCAGCACCCGACTTGGTTGTCTTTCTTAATGAGAGTTATCTAGCCCATTTTCCAGAATTAGAAAAACTTTGTAAGGGAGTGAGGGTAAACCTCATGACAGACTTGTCTAGCCTCTGGTCCGCAGCATTAACAAGACAAAGCAATGCAGAACAGCTCTGGCTCACTCAAGACAGCTGTCTAAAATAGGATTACTGAAAGCTGAGGGCACCAGTCACAAGAACTGTGCCCATTCGATTTTGTGTGGCGGTGGGAAAAATCTAGCTGAAATCAGTAAATGCTCTACAAAGTTGAATGTACAGTATGTAATGAATGAAGTGAGAAGGACACAAATGAACGAGGCAAGGAAGAATAGCCCTCATAGTCCCAACACTGAAATGGCTGAGGCAGGGGGATCATGAGGAATTCAAGATCAACCTCAACCCAAAGACTCTCATTAAACAAACAAGAAACAAATGACTTGTGAGTGTAGGGGATACTATTAGTGACCAAGGCAAGGAGCAAAATGCTAAAAAGCACAGCATCCTAATTTGCATTAGCACAGACAGGATCTCTGTAGAAAACAATGACATGGGGGTTGGGGATTTAGCTCAGTGGTAGAGCGCTTGCCTAGCAAGCGCAAGGCCCTGGGTTCGGTCCTCAGCTCTGGAAAAAAAAAAAAGAAAACAATGACATGAAGGGCGAAAGCAAAGCAAATGTAACTTGGACATCTTAGCACGTTTTCAAGTTTCAGAATACTCACATTAAGCGCTTACTGAATAATCAAGAATGCCCTCACCATTAGCTGCCGCCAGAAAGGATTTGTTGCTGCCCCGAGCTTTGTTGGTCAGGTCTTCAGTTATGTCCATGTGCTGATGCATCTCTTCTCGAATTTCTTCTAGAATTTTGCATAGTTCTGCTTCCCAGTAATCTTTGTCTAGACAGTCTATTAATTCTGCGAGCTGGACCTTTGTGCTGTAGTACCAAACTTTCTTTTCATTTTCATTCTCTGTGTCTTCTTCTCTGTGGTAAAATCAGGGAGGGGAAAACATTAGGCACAGTAGCACTTACCAAACAAACATCTGCCTACCAAGTTCAACCGTGTAATGCCAAGACTACACGCCGATGCTCAATTGCCTCTAACTGCTTGGGTTTCTGAGTACACAATTCTTAGGTGAAAATAAGTTTCAGTATTAATGAGAAGTGAGGTTATGTGCAAATACCTAAACGTGACAAAAACATAACTTTAACACCCAGTCATGATTGCAGAGCTTGGCAAAGAGCAGCCGGACCTCAAGCACCTCCCCTCCAGCAGCCTAGTGAGTGTCTTAATCAAAGCCCCGGAAGTCTCACAGCTCGGGACAGCAGAGCAGAGAGCGTACTTCCACTGTTAACACAGTCTACACAGACCTCACGGTGCTGGGAGGCTTTACTAGGCCCTGGGCCTTATAGGAGTCATACCTAACTTGGCAACAGTGTCTCATCTATCTCCTATCTATCTCCTTTATCTTTCTTACATTTTTTGGGGGTGGGAGATTTTCATTTTACATGTGAGCTGCATGTGTGTTTAACTGTACCACATGCACGTGGTGTCCAGAGAGGCTAGAAGAGGGCACTGGATCCCTCGGAACTGGCGCTGGCTCCAGATGGTTGTGACTTGCCACATGGATGCTGAGAACCATGGGAAGAACAGCAAGTGAAACCATCTCTTCAGCCCTATTGTTTTTTTCTTGTTGTTTTGTTTTCCTTTTTGAGAAAGATTTCTCTGTATAGCCCTAGCTGTCCTGGAACTTGCTCTGTAGACAAGGCTGGCATTGAATTCAGAGATCCACCTGTTTCTGCCCCCCAAGTGCTGGGATTAAAGGTGTGCACCACCACCACGCAGGCCCCTGATTTATTTTTTTAAAACAGGGTCTCACTGTGTATCCCTGGCTGATATAGATTTGTCATGTAGCTCAGGCTGGCCTTGAACACACTGCCTCTGTCTCCTAGTGCTGGGATTGAGGGTATGTACAACCACCTGGCTCTTCTCTCTTCTTAAAGACACTCAAAGCTCAAACTGGAGAAGAGAGACTGCTTCCTTTCCTGTCAACTCTGAGGTTCCATCCACATCTAAGGAAACTGTAAACTTTAATGGAGACAGTTACTAACTGAAAAAATAAAATAAAATAAAACAAGGCAGATTACCACCAAGAGCAAGACTTCAAGAATGCATCCCATAATGCTGGGAGTGGTGTTACACACCTGTTATACCAGCACTTGGGAGGTAGAGGCAGCTTTATCTACATGACTTTGAGGCCAACTTGGACCATTTGAAAATGTCACAAAAACACCTTATAAACCAAACACCTCCCCACCAGAAAGGAATTAACCTCATGAAGTTTCTCCTCCGCCCCATTCAAAAGGAACTCAAGAGTCTTGTGAAGTACCTAAGAATCTGTCATTTCCTGTGTGTCAATGGCAAAGCGATGGAGCTCAAAGAACTGAGCTCTACGAAAAGACGTGGAGGCCGGGACGATGGATTCTTGTTAAAGTACGTGACTCCCAAACCAGACTTCAGGTGTGTATGGTGCCCTGCCTGGAATTCTGGCCCAAAAAGCTGGTATACACGCACCCCTGGCACAAGCTGGCTAGAGAAGCTAGCTGTATCACTGACCTCTAGATATCACTGAGATGGTACTTCAAAGAGTGAGGTGGAGAGAGATCAAGACATCCACCTGAGGTCTCTACGCTCAGTATCACCCTTAGGTCTCTACACACCTATGTGAGTACACGTGTGTATAAACACACACACACATGCACACAGAGAAGTGCCCTGTAGAGGGTGCTAAGTGGAAGAAATAGACGGTGCTCCATGAACATGAAGCCCTGAGTCTAGAGCTCCAGCGTCTAGGCGGGGTGTGCCAGGCCTGTGGCTGGAGAATGGAGGGACGAGGGTGTGGGGAGAGTAGGAACCTAGACTTTGCTAGCCAGCCCGTCTCACTCATCAGCAGGTGGCAGATTCAGTTAGTAACCCTTATCTCAAAAAGTAAGTAGAAAGCAACAGAGGAGGGCACCTCTAATCTGACAGCACAGAAACAAACATGCGCACAGACCCACATGGAAAACACTGCACGCGCGCGCGCACGCACGCACGCGCACACACACACACACACACACACACGCAGCCACACACACACAATCTGGGTATAGGAATGAAAATCAGTGCAGAATGCTCAAGGCCTGGGTTCTAGCCTCAACGTCTGCTCTGAATGGGCTCAGTCCCATGATATTGACAGCCTGGCCATTACAAGCTTCCTCCAAGCCACTTCCGCAACTCCCTTGCACAGTGAAGTTACTGGGCACTGCCATAAGGCCACTATAAGACTTGAAGATACATGTTAGAGCAACTCCACAGTGACTGGGACCTCCTTAGTGGGCAACAGACACAAAATATTATTATTGAGGCAGTGAAAGTTTAGAGGGATTTCAGGAATGTATTAATCAGTAATTCTAAAGGGAACATATCAATCACACGTCAATCAGCAATTTTTTTTAAATTTACACAGTATTTTTTTCTTTTTTGGCATATGCAAACATGGATACTAGTATTTGTACCCTATGTGTACAGAGGCCATGTTAGGCATCCTGCTCTCCCTTACCTGAGGAGACAGGAACCCTCGACTGAACCTGGAACCCTAGTCATTTTCTTGTTACTGCCCAGAGTATACAGGTTATGGCACAAAGAGGCAAGCATGGCTTTTGGGGGGCGGGATCTGAACTCAGGGTCTCAGGCTGGTGCAACAAGGGCTCTTTTGTACTGAGCCATCTCCCCAGTTCCCACCCATACATTTTTTTCCAAACCCCATACATGGGGTTTTTGCCATAAATATAAAAGTTTTTAAAACATTATTTTAAGATCTGCTCTACATTTCGCTCTAATAGATATTTCCACTAAGTTGTTGGTTGCTTTTCTTTTCTTTTTTTTTTTTTTAAACTAGCTCTAGTGAAATTTTATTAAAGAAGAACTTTCCTGGCTTACTTTTTAACCAGTCTGTTTTGGCCTGACTCTAGTAATACCAGAATCACCTGGGTCAGTGTGCATAATCTAGTCTTTCTGCATGCTGCACCAATTCAGTATTATTGCCCTGAAAGCGATGGCCAAGAGTTTTGGCCAACATGGCAAATAGTGTTCTACTTCAGATTTCTCCCAAGCTGAGCACTTGTCGGCAAGAATAACCAACTTTGTTTTGCCCTGTCCAATCGTCTTCAGAATGTCTGTCCCAGCACATACTCTTCACAGCACGTCTGAATTAGAAGTGCTATCTCCAGAGGCTTCCATCTTCTTTGCAGCCACTATCTTCCTGCTTCAGGTGCAGGACAAACCCCAACCAAGAGCAGCTGCCAAGACGGCCAAAGAGCAAGCCTACTAAATTGGTTTTTTTCCTTGTTGTGTTTTTTGTTTGTTTTTGTTTTTCAAGACAGGGTTTCTCTTTGTAGCCTTGGCTGTCCTGGACTCACTTTATAGACCAATTTGGCTTAGAACTCACAGAGATCCTCCTGTCCCCGCCTCCCCAGGTGCTGGGATTACAGGCGTGTGACACTGTGCCCTGCCGTCTTATTATGACTAGTATGACAATGATCTTAACCTAATTTCCAAAACTAACAAGTCAGTCTTCTCAGCAGAAACATTCATTAAAAGCTCTTACACACAATGCTGTGTCAAAAATTGACAGTGTCAAACACTTAGCTCTGACTTAAACTCTGATTGCATCAAAATATAAATAATCCCATCTTTTATTTTCTAAAATTTCAACCTTACAGCTTTTTCATTATAAAGATCGCTCATGCTCTCTCTCCCCTGCTCACCCCTCCCTACCCCCCTCTCCTTTCCTCTTCCCCTCCTGTCATGTAATCTGGCTGGCCTTGAATTGCCTGCTTCCCCTCCCGAGGGCTGAGATTACACTTAAGTACCACTGTGTCTGGCTTATGAAACTCAGGGCTTCATCCATGACAGGCATATGCCCTTTACCATCTGAGCTATATCTCAAATCTTTAGTTTTTTAAGTTTTTCATTCTTCTTTATTCAGAAACACAGTGCACCCACATGGTGGCATTTCAAGTCCATTTCAGGTCCCAGACAAATACGCAGTCCAGTGGTGTCAGCTTATGAAGTACATTCTATGAGGTTCACACTAATGAAGATAAGCTTGCCTATGATGCTTTTCTCAAAACACAGCTGACAAGGAATGTGGCTTGCAGCTACAGGTTTCAACTGAGAAAAAAAAATCCTGCACAAGAACTATTTTAGGGGATGGTGCTGAAGAGATGGCCCAGTGGTTAGAGCACATACTGCTCATGTAGAGGACTTGCCAACACCTCCGTCAGGTGGCTCACAACTGCCTGTACTGCCAGTTTCAGGGGATCTGATGCCCTCTTGGGGCCTCCATGGACACTGCACTCCTGTGCACATACCCATACACAGATACATACAAACCACAGGTAGAGATACTCAAACAAAGTAAATAAGTATAATTTTTTAAAGAATTAAAGTTTAAAGTTCCAAGATAGACACTTGGTGAGTATAAGGTTTCATTATGTGTCAAAACACCATTCAAGAGCAGAGTTGGGTAAGGGGAATTCTGAATGGCTGAGAAAACTCCAAGAAAACAAGATGGATCCTGTGACCTCAGTTCCTTCAAAACCAGGGAATTGTTCTCAGAAGGTGCTTTTGTGCCCCTTCCAGGTGCAGTGGATAGGAATGAGAATAGTCCTCACAGCTGGTTTTTGTTACTTGTTGACATGCCCCTATGGAAAACATGTTCTTGCTCTGCGTAGCTTGCCCACAACATGAGGCCTGTCCCTGTGACTGGACGCTTCACTCGTGTGCTCTTAAACCTCGGAGTACAATCCGTCTGCTGCCCTGAATACAGTGGGCTACTGCATGAGACTTTAGTCGGCCTTAACTTGAGACTCCATTCACCCAGAGTCACACTGCTAACTAGACTGGTAAACAATTCTGAAAATAAGATACTATAATACGA